AGGTAGAAAAAATGGTTTAATAATGATTCAAAGACAAAATTGGGATAATTTTTCAAAAAAAAAATTGTTCGCAAAAATTGAGGTAATTTTTCTATACAAAAAAAATGTCAATTTTTACTTTCCTATCTGTATACAGATAAGGAAAGTATAGGAATCATGATTTTTTTTACCTTGAGTTTTCGACGGATTTTTACGTTTTTGGGTAGCCTGAATCCATTTTGACTATTTTTGCGATGATGTCTGTGTGTGTATCTGTATCCACGATAACTCATGAACCGATGGAAAGAAAAACACCAAATTTTAAACCTAATCTTTATTCTGGCGTCCAATGATCTGATTAGATTTTAAGCAGAGTCGGAACATCTGGGGGTACTTTAGGTGGTCAATTTTATATTTTATAGAATATATCTGTTATTTACGTTTGGAGAAGAAAATTCTTTAAATAAAAGTTACTTACAATATTATTATCAATATTTTTTGTTCTATACAACATTTTCCTAAAATGGTTTGTATTCGAGAAATTTGACAAAATGTAAAAAAAATATTTTTTTATAAAAATTGTTTAAATAAAAGTTGTTTATAATATAATTCTCTATAATTTTTATCTTATACATAATGTCTCTAAAATGGACCGTATTCGAGATATTTGAGAAAATGTGTAAATTTCGAATTTTGAAGAAAACTCAAAAACGGATAAAGGAAAACTCATTAAATTTTAAACTTAAGTTTTATTTCGGCTTGACGTGAAATGATTAGATTTTGAACAAAGTCGTAACATCTGGGGGGGGGAGTACTTTATGGGAGGCCGTTTTTATATTTTATGGAATATATCTCTTATTTATGTTTGGAGAAGAAAATTGTTTAAATAAAAGTTACTTCTAATATTATTATCTATAATTTTTGCTTTATGTTAAATTTTCCTAAAATGGTCCGTATTCGAGAAATTTTTCAAAATGTAAAAAATTATGATTTTTAAGAAAACATGTTTGCAATATCGATCTCTATAATTTTTGTTTTTTACATGCTTTCTCTAAAATGGACCGTAATGGAAAAATTGGAGGAAAAGTATAAAATTTTAATTTTTCAGCATTTTCGTTGGCAATGAGTGTATATAGAAAATTGTTTCGAGTTAGATGTGTGTGGAAAATGTATATATTAAGTTAACCTCTAAATATTTAAAGAGGTGCTATAATAGGTTGTACAAAATAACCGAAAAAATCTTGTAATAACTAGATAGGAGATAGAAGAGATTTTTTAAAATATATTAAAAAAATAAGAAAAAATAAAAAAAATTGGAATAATTATTCCAAAAAATTGGGATAATTAAAAAAATGGTAATATTTCAAAAAATTGGGGTAAATTAAAAAATGAGGTAATTCTTCCATATCCAAAAACAAATAATTTTTCAAAATAATATTAGGTAAAAGAAAATTAGGAAAAGAAGGTGGTGTAAAAAATTAAAATTTTAAAAAATAAAAAAAAAATTAAAAATGGGAAAAAAATAAAAAAAAAGGTAATTTTTCTATTGAAAATATGTAAATTTTTTAAAAAAATGAAAAGAAAAAATTGGTTAATAATTAGTCAAACATAAAATTGGGGGAATTATTCCAAAACATTGGGATAATTCTTCAAAAAAATGTAATGCTCCAAAAAATTGGAATAATTTTAAAAATATTGAGGTAATTTTTCTATACCGAAAAAGGTAATTTTTTAAAACATTGAATATTTATTTCAAAAAATAGGGATAATTTAAAAATAATGATGTAATTATTAAAAAAAAATGGGGTGAATTAAAAAATTGAGGCAATTATTCCATACCAAATTTTTCAATCAAATAAAAGAAAATTAAAATAAAAATAAAAAAGAAATGGGAAAAAATGGTGTTTTTAAATTTTTTTTTAATTGGAAAAAAGATGAAAAAACGGGCAAAAATCAAACAAAAGTAAAGAAACAAAATTGGGGAAAAAAATTGGTGTAAAAACAGGTAAAAAATGGGAATACAACATTACATTTTAAAGGCGCCAACACATTTTAGTCAATAACTTGGTTTGGTGTCAGATAGATTCATTATCTAACCTAATGTAGTAAAAACATTTCGGATCGATTGAGACATCTTTATTTTTCGATTTTTTTACATTTTTTGAAACATTCCTAATGGTCTACGAAAATTATTTTAATTTAGTGTTATACTATGAAGCGTCTTCAACAAACTGCCGTTTAAATTATTTATCTACGACTTACCCTTTTCGAGATATAGCCATTTAAAAGTCTCTTTTAAGAAAAAGTGGAGGTAATTTAACACAAAAATGCAAAATACCAGAACCAAATTGATCAAAAATGCTTAACTGGGCCTAAAAACGAAACCGTCAAAATTCTTATAGTAATAAATGGTACACTTTAGCGGTTAAAAGACATTTATATTACAACTAGCGACACTTTAAAGCAGTGGTCGCCAACCTGTCGATCGCGAACTACCGGTAGCTCGCGGAGGCCATTCTGGTAGCTCTCACAACGATTTTAATTTAAAAAATACAAACTGCAAAAATCAGAGAAGCTTCCGAAAATTCCACAAAAAAATCTAATTGTCATAATATTAAACATAAATAGCGGCAACGTTGCGGTGAGCGATCTGCCACTGACGCCATCAAGCTAGAATCGGCTAAAACCGACCAGCCGGACCAGCGCGTTAGTGTTCGAGAACGATCAGGATTGATTTTAACGGGATAAATACGCACGGCGCGCGGCGACATTGCGCTTAGTTTAAAAATGAACGCGTAACCAACGTCCAGCGGTTGGGTTAGAAGAGAACAACAAAAAATAATATTATGGCAAGCAGTTGTAAGAAGGTAAAGATATACCACTTTTATTCGTAATGGGAAGAACAATACTATTTTACAGAAGTTAAAGATAAAAATGTGTGTTTGTTATGTAATACTTCGGTCTCCGTTGCTAAAAAAGGAAATATTGAGAGACATCATAAAACTATACATTCTAATTTTGAAAAATCATTCCCACTACATTCTGCCGCCAGAAAGGAGAAACTGAAACAGATAAAAAAGCAGTTAATTGGACAACAATCAATATTTTTAAGAACAGTCGACAAAAATAAGGCTGCAACTGAAGCATCGTACCGTGTGTCCCAGATAATTGCACAAAAAAAGAAACCTTATGAAGACGGGGAAATGATAAAACAGGCGTTTTTAGAAGCTACTGATTCGTTATTTGCCAACTTTAGAAATAAAGACGAGATAGTTTCAGCTATAAAATCTATGCAACTTTCTGCTAATACAGTGATGAGACGTGTAGAAGTAATGAGCAATAATATTTTTTACAGTTAAGAACTGACTTAGATAACTGTGTTTATTTTTCACTTCAACTGGATGAATCAACAGATGTCGTTGACACTGCCCAGATGGCCGTGTTCGTCAGGATGGTTTTTAGTGATTTTACGATTAAAGAAGATCTTTTGAAGTTTATTCCACTGAAAGGACAGGCTACTGGACAGGACTTGTTTTCTCATTTAAAAAATATTATTTCTTCCGAGAAAATTCCAATATCGAAAATGGTAGGCTTGACAACCGATGGCGCTTCAGCTATGGTGGGTTGTAATAAGGGTCTGGTGGCGTTATGTCGTAAAGATGAAACTTTTCCGCAATTTTTCTGTTACCACTGCATTATCCATCAGCAAGCATTATGTGGAAATTTCCTGAAACTAAACAACGTTATGAAACTGGTGGTAAAAATTGTGAACAAGATTAGAGCTCAAGCGTTACAAAGAAGATTATTCAAAACCTTGGCCGATGAAGTTGACTGTCAATACGGGGACCTACTCCTTCACTCTGAAGTCCGATGGTTAAGTAGAGGACGGGTGCTGAAACGTTTTAATGATGTCCTATCTGGCATAGTTCAATTTTTCGAACAACGCGATGAACCGACTCCGGAACTAGAAAATTCAATCTGGCTTAGAGATTTTGGTTTTCTCGTGGACATTACAGATAAATTAAACGAACTTAATTTGCAGCTTCAGGGGAGAGACAAAGAACTAGCGGAAATGATTTCTGATATAAAAGCATTTATCAAAAAGCTAAAGTTTTGGGAACAAAACCTAATTAACAGCGATTTTCCTATTCTTTTAGAAAAAATATCTTAAAATCCATTAGAACCCTATGACAGCAAATATCATGTAGAAATAGTTTCTACCCTGAAGAATAACTTTAAAAATCGTTTTAAGGATTTCAACGCTTCAACGCTTTAGTAGCGCAGTTTGTTGTTTCACCCTTTATGGAAATTGATGTACCAAATGTATCTGGCCTATTGTAAGTAAAGACAAATATTCAGTTCTATGCTGTGTTGCCTTGAAAGTGAAAGCATTATTCAATTCAACCTATTTGTATGAATCTTCTTTTTCCAATATGAAGTTTATTAAGAACAAATATTGCAATCGACTTACAGATGAACATTTGTATAATTGTATTCGAATGGCTGTATCAAATTATACTGCAAACATTAAAAAAATGATCGATGAGTCTGAGTGTCAGCCTTCTCATTGAACGTGCTTTTTTATTTTTCAATGTTTATGTTCATGATAGTGCGTTACTTTTTTGTTGTTATTATTAACTATTTTTAAATCTTACATGACATGCCGTTGTGGCTGGATAAAAGTTTGTGTTTATTTTTCAAACACCTTCGTTTGGTAGGTAGGAATGTAGCTATGAACAAGTACGTACTAGTAATATTAGTTATTTTGTTATTAGTTTATTATTAGTACCTATGTATTATGTATTACCAGTTAAATAGTAAAATAAATACATATAATGATAAATTAACTGTGGATTATTTCATTTACGTTGCGTTACGTGGCTTCCGTGTGGGTAGCTCGCTGTTTATTCCAAAATTAACAAAGTAGCTCAACACATTGAGAGGTTGGCGACCACTGCTTTAAAAGGAAAGCGAAGAAATTTATATTTTCTTTTTTCTCAATTAATATATACTTTTTTCAGTTTTTGGAGACTATGACTTCGTCGTAATTGGCGCTGGTTCCACTGGAGCTGTAATCGCACGCAGTCTATCCGATGTTCCAGACTGGAAAGTTTTGGTCATCGAAGCAGGAGAATGGGGAAACAATTTGACATCCGTCACGAGCTCAGCTTATAAAATAACGGTCATGAGTGACTACAATTGGGGCTATTACAGTATACCCCAGAATAATACATGTTTAGGTATGTATTAGAATGATAAATTAATATCTAAAAACGATCAGAAACCAGGATTCTGCACAGTAGATAATTTGGCGGTCCCCATAATCTACTGCGCAATATCCTGATGTTAGTAACTGGTTTCTGATACTTAATAAAAACCTTTTAATCGAGATTATTTTTATACAAAAACATTTCCAATTTATATTCTGTTTTCAAGTTATCTACTGTAACTTTATTTCTCATAGCAGCCCATCTTGTATAATTATTCTAATTACTTTTATAGGTTTCGAAGGCAACCGTTGTCCTCATCCTAGAGGTAGGGGTGTAGGAGGTTCATCCCTACTCAACGCCCTCATTTACATAAGAGGCAACAGGAAAGATTTCGATATATGGTGTCGTGATGGAAATCCAGGATGGTGTTACAAAGATATTCTGCCCATATATTTAAGACAAGAAAATTATCGTCACACAGATCCTGAATCTCCGTTTGAACCGGCATATCACAATTATTCGGGACCACTGTGGGTGGAACAACCAATGCCTAGACATTTTCATCACAAGGTGAGTGAACTACCTCTACAAGCACATTACCTAATTTTTCTTAAATAATTTTTAGATCTTCTTGAAAGCCAACGAAGAAATGGGCTACAAAATACGAGACGTAAACGGCATTGAACAAATAGGGGCCATGCCTTTCCAAGTAAACACCAAAAAAGGTACACGACAAGACAGCGGTACGGCTTTTCTCAAACCAGTGGCGCAGAGAAAAAACTTGAAAGTAATGACAGACAGTTTGGCGACGAAAATTTTGTTCGACGGCAAACGCGCTACTGGAGTTTTGTTTTTGAACAAAGGGATTTTGTACAAAGTGAATGTGAAGAAAGAGGTTGTTGTGTCTGCTGGAGCTATTAACTCACCTCAACTTCTGTTATTGTCTGGAATTGGTCCCAAGAAGCATCTTGAAGAACACAGTGAGTATTGGTTTAATTAGAAAAAATTGATGTATACTTTTCGGGATGACCGTAATGATCTATCTTTAGGAACTTATAAAAATCGTATGTTTAGAGCAAAAGTTAAAACGATACATTTTCGTATGCCTGGTGCAGTGTTCACCAGTGTAAATTACACCAGTTACACCACCTTATTTTTTCAAATAAACGATCTCTGCTTAAAAATTTAGATGAAAAAAAAATTGACAAAAGTAACAGCTACTATACAAAAAGTCCATTTAAAGTCCTTTTTTTAATTAATATTTTATTTTCTCATCTTACTGTTTGACAAATAAATTAAAACTATAATAAATAGTTACATTAATATCAAAAGAATTGGTGTGAGTACTATTTTAATAGTAAACTTTGTAGGACAAAATATTATTAAAAGTTTAAATGGACAATTTTTGTAAAGTGTCACTTTTGTTTTAAAAGTACCATATTAACAATAATTATTAACAATCTAGAAACGTATATGCCCGTTTGTAACAAAATGTAAAAGAAAATTTATATATTTACCTAAGCCACTGAAATTTGTTGAAAAAACGGCTTATACGCACATGTAGTCCGTACAGTCAGTAAATATGACAATAAAATACACTAACACTTGCACAAATGTCTATTTTATAACAAAAACTAACAATTTATCCGAAAATATAAAACTATTAATCTCTTCAGTCAAACGTTCGAACAAAAATGGAGTATGATACATATTTATCTATCTAAATTAGTCATGAATTCTTGTGTGACTAATAATTTCAACTTAGAAATTCAAAATAATACACATTTTTTTAAAATCTTGAGACAATGAATAAAATTATTTTAAATATACCGAAAATAAGTATTTATTTTTTTTATAATAAATTTTTATTAGTTGTGTTAAAAGAAAATAACACTATTCTGGATTTATATATACAGCGTGTCGCAACGCAATGTCTGCACCAAAAAAACACGAAATTACATATTTCCTTAATCACCGGTGTGAAGTTAGCAGCCACTTTCCAGCAGCCCGTTTACCGGAAACACCCGAGTGACCAGTAGCGTCGAAATGTATTTTTCTATGAAGTTAACGGTGTATTGAAATAAAATTACTACTAAATTTTTAAGAAACAAATAAAAAGTGTTTAGAGAAAGGATTGAGGGGTAAACTGAAATAAAAATCCAATAAAAAATTCATTAAAAAATCAATTTTTCTGTAAAGATAACAGAATATTGAAATAAAAGTAGTGTCAAATTGTTAAAAAACTATAAAATACAACCTAAAAAAAATTTACAAAATCACTTAGGAAGGGGATAAGGGGGTCAAATTAAATAAAATTCCATTAAAAATCTATTTAAAAATTAATTTGCCTATGAAGACAATAGGGAATTGAAATAAAGTTAGTGCCAAATTGTTAGAAACTATAATATACAACCTAAAAAATTAACAAAATCACTTAGGAAGGAGATGAGGGGGTCAAATTAAATAAAATTCCATTAAAAATCTATTTAAAAATTAATTTGCCTATGAAGACAATTGGGTAGTATAGTTTATAACAATTTGGCACTTTATTTCAATAAACTCTATTTTATCGGAGGTGCGATATATTTTATTCAATTTTAGGAATGATCTTTTTTAATTAATTAAACGTTGAATACCTATCTTAGTTTAGATAAATATTTAACACTTTTTTCTCACTGTAAACTATTTTGATTATTTTATTAAAGTAATGTCACTTCTATCAAATATAGTTTTGATTTTCATAGTTTTTACTTAAATAATGTTGACGTTTCCATATTCACAATCAGTTGCTTAATCAAGATAGTAAATAATAATAATAATCTTGTTCTTCAGATAACTATCTCTTTTGGCAACCACTTTTTTATGCCTTTATAACTCTTTTTTTATTTTTAGATATTGAAGTAATAGAAGATCTGCCAGTTGGAGAATCATTCTCAGACCACTTGCAAGTTCACGGATTGGTATTTTCTAGTAACGTATCAGAACCTATTAAAACCCTAAGAGAATCTATCAAAGATTTCTTGGGAACTGGTACAGGAGATTTAGCTGAAGCCGTACCAACACAAGCTGTGGGTTACTATAAAACAAAACTAGCAAAAATTGATGATTATCCTGATTTAGAAATCAGCTTCCAGGATACCAACGAAACAGCGGATGCGTTAACTAAATATTATAATTGGAAAAGTAATATTTCTTATTATACAGCTGGAATTAATGCTGCTAGTTCGTTTCAACTATTTGCTACCCCTCTACATACTAAATCCTTGGGTTATGTCAGGTTAAGATCCAGTAATCCTCTGGAATATCCAGATATTGATCCCAACATACTCTCAGATCCGGAAGGTCATGATTTCGATTTAGTTTACGAAGGGATACAATTTGTTTTAAACCTCACCAATCAAGAAGCTTTCAAAAAGATTAATACAAAGTTTGAGCAGAAACCTTTACCACAATGCAGCAAATTTACGTTTATGACTAAAGATTACTGGAAATGTGCCAGTAAATTCATCGTCAATCACAATAATCATCCAGTGAGTACTTGCAAAATGGGACCTGATCGCAAGAAACATGTAGTGGACCATACTTTGAAAGTGCATGGTATTAAAAATGTACGAGTGGCTGATGCTAGCGTTATCCCACTGTCTACGTCTGCTCACATTAACGCTATTTGTTACATGATTGGAGGAAAAGGTGGGGATATGATTAAAAGAACTTGGAAAAAGAAATTAAGTTCAGGATGATGGATGTTATTTACTTGAGGAACAATTTTGTAAATATGATAAAAATATATTTGTAGTTATAAATCATACGGAGTTTTATTTTGATTGAAAAGTCATCATTAGTTTTCATACAGTGCTTTTTACACATATTCATTTGACATACGCTTATTAACATTTAAAATCCAACTAGAATAATGTGAAGAACTTTATGCTATTCACTATCTCCAAGCAAATTCATTATCTATGGTCTCAACTTACAATATAACCTCAAAAATGTATAAAAGGCGAATTTAAATAAGTCACAACCAAATTAAAAACTAAATATTTTTATTTAGACAATAATATAACGAAGTAAACAGTTTTTTCAAATTTTTAGTTTCACCCCGATTTAACCGGATTTTTAGGTTTAGTTATACCGATGTAGCCGATAACCTCCATTGGTGTGTTACCTTGCACGTGTTCCCTGATTTCGGTCGCAGTGATTTCGCTTTGAAATATTCTGGCACTGGCCAGCGCGGCCTCTTCGGCAAACCCAGGAGGCGCAGCTGAAAATATAAAGCGGTATCAAAGGAAAACCTACAATCAACAAACCCAATACCAGATTTTTTAGACCCCTTGCATAAAGTCCCGCTTTTGGAGTTTATTTAGCATATATCCAGCTCTTTATCGGGGAAAAATACCTTACCCCATGGCCTAGAGCTGCACTATAACTACCACATTCGGTGCAACAATGTTGTAAAAGCAAAAATTTACTTTTTACAGAAGAGCCATTTAAAAGTTTTACTATAGTCATAAACTGAAAGTCAAATGATTCAATATTTACTCATTTATTGTATATGTTTCATTTACTACATTGCTGCATTAGATGCATAAGAAGATTTTTCATTAATGACGAATAAAAATCTAATAAAATAAAAAAATATATTTTTATTTTCATCTAGTTCCACTGTCAAGAACTACTACAATCATTGTCGTTATCTGTACCTTCAGCAGCTTCTTCTGCGGCCTTTACAGCACCTGCAAACGCGCACATCGCTTCAGCTTTGGCTAATTTCTCCACAGCGTCCGTCAACTCAGTGTCTGGTTCCATGGCCATGTCTGCTATTATTTCTATTTGACTGGCTGACGCTTCGGCCATTTTGTCTATTATGGATTGTGGATAATTCAGATTTAGACCTGATAATGTTTTCATGCATTCTGGGAAAGCTGGAACTGTTTGTGCTGTACTTGGAGTTTTTACTTTTGAAAGTTCTTTTTCTACAGCTCTATCGAACCTAAAACAATGCGTGAACGTTGATTTATATACTTTATATAATATAAAAACCAATGCAGGTCTTTAACGACTGCGGTAATACCAACAAATAAATATTACGATTTGAAGGTATGATTAAACACTAGTTGAAGTGGCATGCGTATTTTTTTAGAGATAACCTGTTCGTCACAATGATTTACAGCTGCTTTTCTTTTCTGTAGCTACAATTGTCGAAACTTCCAAAGATTGCCCAATTATTTTCAAAATTTGGCAACGGTGTGGAGCTATGACGGTCTAAAATTTATTACGTCATCGATGACGTGCATTGGTTTCTGTATGAAGTAAATTACGATTCAACTTAGAAAAAGCCACGGGCGTCATCAACTAGTTATCGTCTGCCTCACTTTAAAATATTCCTTCTCCGTTGCTCCAGATCAATATACCAGTGGCGTAGGGTCTTATTTAATTAAGCATTAAAGCAGTTTCCCAACAAAATTGGAATAAAAAGTTAAATTTTAATGATTTAAACATTTGTGTATTACCTAAATAACTAAACTAAAATAACGTTACATATATTTTTCGACTTTAGACTTGCAAAACATTCAGTGGGAAGTAAATAAAAATAGCAACACAATTTTGTAATTTAAGATTTTTATTACAATTAAAATAATAGTTATTTATGCAACTAGTGCAAAAAGTGAAACTAGAGGGGTACATCCACAGACCATACCCTTTAAAGATGGGCCACTCAACAGTGAAAAATTTTACTCATCTTTCAGCGCCATCCGTAGCGGTTGCAAATAGTTGAGTTAAAAAAAAAGAAGATAACTAATAATTGAAAATTTGTTCAAGATTTATTATATAGATGGCGGTAGGGGTCAATGAGCGCGGGTTTTTCAAACTCGGCCTTTCTAATAAACCACTACTAAGTTTTCAAAATTATAATTCTTCGTTCTTTTTTACTTAAAATGATTCAAACATTTTATTCTTCACTCAACATACTTAGATGGATATAATCCATTGGGTTATGTTCTGTGATAGATAAAATTTGAAATATTTTAAGTTAAAAAGAAAACGAAAAATTATAATTTTGGATTTATGGAACAAAAAATACATCTTATTATGAAGTAAAACACGATTATAACCATATATTTTTTATTATTAGAATTAAAATTGCACGAATTCTTATTACAGTACACAATAATAAAGAAATATGAATATAAAACTATTGCGAAGTTCACCCATGGTTGTATCCAGTAGAAGTTGTAACGAAAGTTCCTGGGGAAAGTTGGCTCTGGCTGCTGTTGGGTGTACTTGTCACTTCCTATTGCAGTGTTTGCTGATTCGTTTTCATGTAAAAAATGAAGAAGAGTATCAGTTAAAAAATATAAAGTTCAATTTTATTATTTTTGTTTTGAGTCAATTCAGCTGAGCTATTAATTTATTAGCTAGTGAGAATGAATCGGCATTTCTTAAAAATATATCGTAGAAGATTTTTCAATAAAATGAAGGAATTTGAATTTAGTAAGAATGCAACTTTTATTAATTGGAATCAATAAATTGTGAAGATACCTAGGTGAGGTAGGTCACAGTATATGGAGCAAAAAATAATAAGAGTCGCACAATATAAAATATACAATTATTGGTATGATTGAAAAGTACCTCATTTTGAATTCGGAAAAAAAATTGTATATAGGTATCTACTATAAAGTATCCATTACATATTGTATAATTCTAAAAAAATACTAATAACACTATTTATTTCAATCTTCTTAATATTCACATATTTTATCTAGTTACTGAAATTGTATAGAAAATGATAAAAGTTAGGTTAAGATTTTTAATTTTTCCTAGAAAACATTAGGTTACCCGCATTATTTTGGAAATTTATTTCACAAATTGGGTACTTTTAAGTAATAATATATGCTCTTAAAATTTGGCAAAGTATTTAAGAATAAAATACAAAAAGAAGTTTTTACTTGTAAAGAAATAAAATTGTAAATGTATTCCTTACCTGCGACTAACTTTATCCTGACAATCTGGATCAGCACAAGGACGAATTCGCACCATAATTATATGTGTTTAAAGCTTTAAAAATTATCTTCGAAAAACTAACCTAATAAAACAAATCAACCATTACCATTATTGCCATTAATAGCGTTTTTTAGCTGTTGAAAGTTTTAAATAACAACTTGCGTACACTTGCGTTACTCTGAACCTGCTCTGAATACAATCTGAATCTGCTCGACGAATGCAACGAGCAAACTTTGTGTAAGTAGCGCCATCTATGGGTGGTGCACAGTACTACAACACGAGTAAGCATTTCCCTATTAAAGATCCCCTAGCCTGGGTACATCCTAGTTCGTCCGTTAATGAACTATTATACTCTGTTTTTAAACTAAGAGGCGTGATTTGAATTTAAGTTGGCAATTCTGTAGCCTTTTGATTGGTCAGATTACAGTCAGTTTCACACATTACTTTTTAGCATAAACATCAGCTAATAATTGATATTGTTGACAGTTCTGACATTTTATAATTTGATATCTCATCCATTACTTAGTTTTTTACTTTATTTCGTAAATAATAGTTCTTCAGTAAGCAATTGTATTGAAAATCTACAATTATGGATCCTTCTACACTGAGTACTATTAAAGGTAGCAATTCCTGAAAAGCCTTACAAGAAAGGGAAGACACCTTATTATTTTACATGCTGATTCTGAAGGTTTTGTAGAAAATGCATTATTGGTTTTTGAAGGTAAAAAGATGGGAGATTACCATGAAGAGATGAATTCCGAAGTATTTTAGAAAAAAATAATTTTATTACTGATTTTTTAAAACTAAAAATTGATGAATTTCTAACCAAAATGATTAAAATGTAACTAAATATTCAAGCAAATTTTATTTATTAGAATAGAATAAAACTATTTACAAAATTGTTATAACATTTAAAACACCATCTACTACTTTAGGGATAATCTTAATTTGGCACAATGAGTTAACATTATTTTCACAAAAAATATTTTAAAAATACTTAAAATTAATACATAGGAATGTATGAATAGTTCACTTTAAAAAATATATGTTGACATGTAGTGTTATGAAAATGTTGGTTCCAGTTTTCAAAACAAATTCTGACTCATAGGCCTGTAAACTTTTGAATGCCTTTATTTGCCCTCTAGCGTATTAACCATGGATTAACACTAAATAAGCCATAATATCCACATTACTCCTTGAAGAGATACCAGTTACTGTGTGATCCACTTGTCATTCACTTTTACTTTTTATACCTATAACAAATATATCCTTAAAAATGTAAACAGATCTTTATATTTTATACTAACCTGGCTACATCTGGATATTCCATTAACAATTTTCTTAAATATTTAATATCCATTTTAAAAAGATCATAGTTATTCTCAAAAAGTCGATTTCAAAAGCAAGAAAAAAGTATTTCTGACATCAATCAACAACCATATTGACTTTAATTTGACAGTGACATTTCGTTTTAGACACACATTTCAGATCACAATAATGTGAAATTTGCGACCGTTGTCTGGGACCAATTAAAAAATTACTTCTATGACATTTATTCGTTTCTTAACCGCTCATTGGCCGTTCACCGACTAAGGCCGATAAAGATAATTATTTCATAAATTTTGAACACGACTATATTTCGAAACTCGCTCTTAGTAACAAATCTAGTTATTTTTCCCTGTGTAAATGCGTCTAAAAACAGAGTATAGTATTCTCGCTGTCTTCACTTTCTTCCGATGAACCCGTATTTTTGTTCGTAAGTAAAAGCTTGGCAACGCCGAAGTTTGACTCACAATAATAATTATTAAGCAATTGTATCTCTATATTAGAAAAACGAAAAAATCGCCAAAACGCCACTGACGCTTGAATGGGATGGACCTGAGAGAGAGGCAAATTATTGCGGCCTTTGTCAGGTGTGATGTGTGTGGCTTTTTCTTAGTTGAATCGTACTCTATAGCTGTGCGTTATGTTTAAACAAATCAGTACATAAATTATAGTGTCTAACAATCTTTGAAGCGCTACCCAATATCATACAGCAATATTTTTTGGATTTTAAGACTGACTGAACGGCAAAACATCATTTTCAGCTTCTCATACTAGAAAAGTTCTGGTCGAAAAGGTACAAAAGCTATCCCAGAGAATCTAAACTGCCGTTAAATGTCCTTCAGACTATACCTGTTGAAGAAACGGATGACTTTGAACAACCTAAAAAGATACTAAACATACGATATTGCCACGAATACTTGGAGCATTTATACCAGTCACAGTTAAAGAACCGCAAACAGAAACGAAATGAGACTCTTTAAGAATATGAAGTAGATATTGCTAGGTTAGTGCGATCAGCTCCGGAATACTTAATTGAATATTTGGCTGTTCAAGTATTTGTTGATGGACTTCATGGCCATAAAATGCAAAAGACACTCACAAAACATTGGTCGATGCATTGTCCGGTGCTCTTAAATAAAAAATGGATACGCTGTCTTCTGGTGTAAAAAAGGAAGAACAGGGAAATAAATTTGACCAGTTGTTTAACATGATAAAAGCCTTATTGAGACGCAACCAACGAGCTGGTTGCTATCAAAAGCAAATAAAGAAACCTTCATCGAATTGAAAATGATTCAAGCACCACATTAGCATCAGTACAACTCCATAGATTTCCTAGTATTAAATAAACAAAGTTTGGTCTTGATTTCACATTAGTTTAAATTTATTAAGTACTAGACCACCTGCATGTCAGTTTTAGATACATGTTTATAAAAAAGGATAAGTTTTATCATGTTTAAATATTTTTTTTGAATTAAAAATTGATACTATGATATTGCAAACAACTTTTGTGATAAGTTGCTTTGGACATTGAGTAAAATTAACGTGATTATTTTAAAAATTAATAAAATAAACGATCCTGGAACCCAGAGAAGGAATTTGGGATATGTCGAAGTGGTTAGAGTCATAACATTGCTTGAAGAATGTAGTCAACATTACATTGTACATATTTTTGGTGTTCAACGATAGACAACCTCCAGGTTAGCTACTTGGTATCAACAAAATTAATTTACTAGGATCACTTAAACATCATCAACAACCAGTGCTTTTCTAAACTTTCCTTTTATCTTAAATTGTTAATTACACTACTCTTCTAAATAAAAATTGTATTCTTATTCTAAATTACCTATATTATGTCTATTAACAACATTATTTACCATTGCATGATGGTTTCCTGTCTTTTCTTCTTTATAGTCTCATCAATTTGTTCACTTTCTTCCATGATTAATCTCGGCAACAAAAATCTCGGATCCTTCTTTGGCGGTTCTTCGTCTTTTAAGATCTCGGCTAGTCGATCTTTTTCGGGACTTTTGAATTTGGACGATCCCTCTTTTCCCTACAAATCTCAATTAATTTACATAATAAATTTCACGTTTAATTTGACAATCATCTGACGTAAATGTGAGTCATCGAAGAATTGACGGTTCAAGTCATGTTTACCTTTTTCATTGCCCCCTAAGCGTAAAAATCGAAATAATGTGATGTGTTTGCATTGTAAATATTGACGTTTATTTGGCAGGAATCAAGGATTGTACACATAAAGGGTAGCTGTATCCCACTACTTATGAGTTAGAAGTTTTTTAAATATAACTGGATGTGACCTGGGTTCACATACTTTGATTTGCCTTTTAAAATGAGATAGAAAACTCCGCCATTTTGATCCCTTATTACGTGTTGCCTACATCTTGGCGCAATATTTTTAATAGTTGCGTTTTATTCATCCGCTTCTGCTTCGGAATTGTCGGTTTTCTTGTTTTAATCTGACAGGTTAAAACGACTAAACCGACAATTCCGGAAGCAGAAGCGGATGATTAAAACGCACCTGATATTTTGCTTGCTGCTGTCAGTGTCAGTGAATATTATTTTTAGGGTCACAATTTATTGCTAAAGAATCAGTTAGCTCACTCGGACCAGTTGAAAGTTCCAAAATAACATCCACTCCAGGGATACAAATTCAGGATACGCAAAGGACTGCTGTTTTATTATAGGCGGTTGTCATATATTGTATTATCCGAGTTGCGCAGTGTATAAACTGGAACATTGAGATCAAAAGTGCCAACGCAGAGTGAGCGATCTGATTCTTTAGCTATAAACTGTGGCATAGAAATCAAAATGGCCGCGCCCTATGTTGGGCGTGTCGGACCTTTCTCTTGCACCGTATAGTAATCAAAGTATGTGCCTGGGTTTTACATGTCAAGAAACAGATGATCATCTAGACCTAGACATCAAGCTTACAATATATAACATTCCTAGATCACGACTTTGACGCCATTTTAGGAGGGATCGGACGAATCATGGAGGTAGGTTATGAAGTTTGTTTGTTCCTTAGAATATATAGACATAATAATATGATTGACAAGTAATGTTACTTTTAACAGATACGTTATTTGAGAGCAGCTTGTTATTTCTGTATGTTTATAAAATAACAGACCTGTTAAAAATAACACAGGTTGTCAATCATAACCCCCTATATATGTTCTAAACATTCTAAGGTTGAACATGTCAAGAAACATGATCATCTAGATCAGTGGTCGCCAACCTCTCAATGTGTTGAGCTACTTTGTTAATTTTGGAATAAACAGCGAGCTACCCACACGGAAGCCACGTAACGCAACGTAAATGAAATAATCCACAGTTAATTTATCATTATATGTATTTATTTTACTATTTAACTGGTAATACATAATACACAGGTACTAATAATAAAATAATAACAAAATAACTAATATTACTAGTACGTACTTGTTCATTTCTACATTCCTACCTACCAAACGAAGGTGTTTGAAAAATAAACACAAACTTTTATCCAGCCACAACGGCATGTCACGTAAGATTTAAAAATAGTTAATAATAACAACAAAAAAGTAACGCACTATCATGAACATAAACATTGAAAAATAAAAAAGCACGTTCAATGAGAAGGCTGACACTCAGACTCGTCGATAATTTTTTTAATGTTTGCAGTATAATTTGATACAGCCATTCGAATACAATTATCCAAATGTTCATCTGTAAGTCGATTGCGATATTTGTTCTTAATAAACTTCATATTGGAAAAAGAAGATTCACACAAATAGGTTGAACTGAATAATGCTTTCACTTTCAAGGCAACACGGCATAGAACTGAATATTTGACTTTACGTACAATAGGCCAGATATATTTGGTACTTGAGACTAACGATTTTAAGGCTAAATCATTTTGAAACTCAATTACTTCCATTTCTGTGGCAGCGATGTCTTCGCCAAGGTTCTGCATAACACAAGTTGTAAACTGTTGGATATCAATTTCCATAAAGGGTGAAACAACAAACTGCGCTACTAAAGCCATTTCGTTGAAATCCTTAAAACGATTTTTGGAGTTATTCTTCAGGGTAGAAACTATTTCTACATAATATTTGCTGTCATAGGGTCCTAATACTCCAGCTTTTTGATAAATGCTTTTATATCAGAAATCATTTCCGCTGAAGCTGCCAATTAAGTTCGTTTAATTTCTCTGTAATGTCCACGAGAAAACCAAAATCTCTAAGCCAGATTGAATTTTCTAGTTCCGGAGTCGGTTCATCGCGTTGTTTGAAAAATTGAACTATGCCAGATAGGACATCATTAAAACGTTTCAGCACCCGTTCTCTACTTAACCATCGGACTTCAGAGTGAAGGAGTAGGTCCCCGTATTGACAGTCAACTTCATCGGCCAAGGTTTTGAATAATCTTTGTAACGCTTGAACTCTAATCTTGTTCACAATTTTTATCACCAGTTTCATAACGTTGTTTAGTTTCAGGAAATTTCCACATAATGCTTGCTGATGGATAATGCAATGGTAACAGAGAAATTGCGGAAAAGTTTCATCTTTACGACATAACGCCACCAGATCTTTATCACAACCCACCATAGCTGGAGCGCCATCGGTTGTCAAGCCTACCATTTTCGATATTGGAATTTTCTCGGAAGAAATAATATTTTTTAAATGAGAAAACAACTCCTGTCCAGTAGTGTGTCCTTTCAGTGGAATAAACTTCAAAAGATCTTCTTTAATCGTAAAATCACTAAAAACCATCCTGACGAACACGGCCATCTGGGCAGTGTCAACAACATCTGTTGATTCATCCAGTTGAAGTGAAAAATAAATACAGTTATCTAAGTCAGTTCTTAACTGTAAAAAAATATCATTGTTCATTACTTCTACACGTCTCATCACTGTATTAGCAGAAAGTTGCATAGATTTTATAGCTGAAACTATCTCGTCTTTATTTCTAAAGTTGGCAAATAACGAATGAGCAGCTTCTAAAAACACCTGTTTTATCATTTCCCCGTCTTCATAAGGTTTCTTTTTTTGTGCAATTATCTGGGATACACGGTACGATGCTTCAGTTGCAGCCTTATTTTTGTCGACTGTTCTTAAAAATATTGATTGTTGTCCAATTAACTGCTTTTTAACTGTTTCAGTTTCTCCTTTCTGGCGGCAGAATGTAGTGGGAATGATTTTTCAAAATTAGAATGTACAGTTTTATGATGTCTCTCAATATTTCCTTTTTTAGCAACGGAGACCGAAGTATTACATAACAAACACACATTTTTATCTTTAGCTTCTGTAAACAGTATTGTTCTTCCCATTCCGAATGAAAGTGGTATGTCTTTACCTTCTTACAACTGCTTGCCATAATATTATTTTTTGTTGTTCTCTACTAACTCAACCGCTGGACGTTGGTTACGCGTTCAGTTTTAAACTAAGCGCAATGTCGCCGCGCCGTGCGTATTTATCCCTGATCTTTCTCGAACACTAATGCGCTGGTCCGGCTGGTCGGTTCTAGCCGATTCCAGCTTGATGGCGTCAGCGGCAGATCGCTCACCGCAACGTTGCCGCTGTTTATGTTTAATATTATGACAATTAGATTTTTTTGTGGAATTTTCGGAAGCTTCTCTGATTTTTGCAGTTTGTATTTTTTAAATTAAAATCGTTGTGAGAGCTATCAGAATTGCCTCCGCGAGCTACCGATAGCTCGCAATCGACAGGTTGGCGACCACTGATCTAGATCTAGACATCAATCTTACAATATATAACATTAACCTAGATCAGTGCTCCGCAACCGGTGTGCCGCGGCACACTGGTGTGCCGTAAGCCGACTTGAGGTGTGCCGCTCTTGCAGACAATACGAATCAGATTCGTATTGTAGCGAGACCCGCGAAAAATAAAGCAATCTGACAACAGCGCCGATGGTAAACGTCTATCCGTCTATCGGCGCGGCGCGGCGGCTTGATTCTCGAAGGCGACTAAACTAGAAAGATCCGTGCCGTTCGAGGCGCGACTCGATGTTTTCCTGAACATCGCCACTGCCTATATAAGCGCGCCTGTCGTCGCTCAGAGACTCAGAGAGAGTCGAATAGTCAAGTGAATCAGATAAATACGCGGGCAAACAAATAAATCGTAGAGTGAAATAAATAGTGAATTGCTATATAAATAAATTCTTGTGCCTTATAAATAAGTGAACTGGACTAAGTTTTGTTGCAGTATCTACTTTTATAAATAACTATAGTGCTTCAAATATGGATAAATTTTTGCTGAAATCACGAGCAGATGACGAAGAACCTAGCACAAGCTCCAGCATAAGTGCTGCAAAAAGAGCAAAAAAGGTGCTGAAAAGGAAGTACAATCAAGACTACTTTCGATATGGTTTCACTTGGTGTGGCGACGAAGCGGCTCCAAAGCCTGAATGCGTCATTTGCGGTGAACAGTTGTCAAATGAAGCAATGGTACCCAGCAAACTAAACCGTCATTTGATCACAAATCATCCCAGTTGCGTCAAAAAAGACATTCAATTTTTCCAACGGCGCTTGGATCAAAATAAGAAACAAAAGCAGTTTATGAAATCGGCGGTTACGGTTTCTGAAAAGGTATTAGAAGCAAGCTACCTTGTTGCAAAATTAATTGCACAACAAAAAAAACCGCACACTATCGGTGAAACGCTTATTAAACCAGCATGCATGGAAATTGTTAGACTTATGCTTGGGCCAAACGAAGTTAAGGACGTGAGTAAAGTTTCTTTGTCGGCCGATACTGTTAAAAGACGTATCCAAGATATGTCAAGTGATATTTTGGGAACACTAATTAAAAAAATCATTTCGGCTGGAATTTTTGCGCTTCAAATCGACGAATCAACCGATATTAAAAATAAAGCACAACTGATGGCTATTGTACGTTTCGTTGACGAGGACTCTATTAAAGAACATTATTTATTTTGTAAGGAGGTTCCAGAGAGAACTACCGGTGAACAAATTTTCCAAGTAACTGATAATTTTTTTAAAATACATAATATTCAGTGGACCAATTGCGTTGCTATTTGTACAGATGGTGCTGCTGCAATGATGGGCAGTAAGAAAGGTTTTGTATCTTGTGTAAAACAAAAAAATCCGTCAATACAAATTACACATTGCTGCATACATCGAGAAGCATTGATGGTCAAAAATTTGCCCGAACAGCTTTCGATCACAATGAATGGATGTATTAAGATCATAAACATAATTAAATCGAGAGCCTTAAATTCGCGAATCTTTGGAATACTCTGTGAAGAAATGGGAAGCGAACATGAATCCTTACTGTTTTATACAGAAGTTCGTTGGTTATCCCGGGGAAAAGTTTTAGCTCGACTGTTTGAACTTCGCTACGAAGTGCGTGAGTTTCTTTCAAGTCAAGATATGTACGATCTATGCCAGCACCTTCATGATGAATACTGGATAGCCAAACTTGCATACATGGCGGATATATTCGAACATCTGAATGAACTTAATAAAAAAATGCAAGGACGGAATGAAAATATATTGACGTGCTCCGATAAATTACAAGGGTTCAAAAAGAAACTTGAACTTTGGCAGGAACAGTTGCAAAAAGGATGTCTAGAAATGTATCACAGGACCAACCACAGTACGATCGAAAACAAGCAGTTGATTGTGGATTTGGCCCAACAACATTTAAGTATGCTTCAACAAAAATTTGAATACTATTTCCATTCTATCAACACGGAACAATACAATTGGATTCGAAATCCTTTCGCAACCAATGCAATAAGTTCCACGGAAGCACTGCCATTGCAAACTCGAGAGGAGTTCACAGAATTAAGTAATGATATGACCCTAAAACTTAAATTCGACGAAGTTCCGTTAGATGTTTTCTGGATTTCCATCAAGACAGAATATCCACGCATCACCGACAAGGCCATCTTCACACTACTTCCGTTTTCCACAATATATTTATGTGAGCAAAGTTTTTCAACGCTTGTATTAATTAAAAATGATAAACGGTCATGCTTAAAAGATCTTGACCAAGAAATGAGAGTTGCGCTGTCTAAAATTGAGCCGAATATAAAACTTTTGTGTTCAACGAAGCAAGCGCAGGTATCACATTAATCAGTCATCATCATGTCAAAATATTTATTACTATTGACGTGTCAACAGAAGTAAATTTAGTATACCTACCTGTCCTACCTAGTATTTAGTATAGTTCTCATGTATGTACCTATTTGTATTTTTCATTCTATCTGAATAATAAAAAAAAATAAAAAAAAAATATGTATTATGTCCCGAGTGAAAATTTTGATGCCCCAAATCTGAAAGGGGCTTCTTCACATTTTAAAACAATAAAAAAAACTAAGGTAGTTTGGACATCCATAAATAATTAGTATACATGGAGTGAACTGACCCCCGACCTAGCTACGCCACTGCTATAAATATATTTTAGATTTTGGTGTGCCACGAAATTCTAGGGAGCAGTTTGGTGTGCCTCAGATGAGGAAAGGTTGCGGAGCACTGACCTAGATCACGACTTTGACGCAATTTTAGAAGGGATCGGACGAATCATGGAGGTAGGTCATGAAGTTTGTTTATTCGTTTAAACATCTACAAAATGTCATCAGTGGGCGGGGTTAAATGGAAGTAAGTGAAGCATTAATATAGCGGCCGTACCAGGTCCAGACTAATTGTTTTTTCAATCTGGATAATATAGAATTCTCAAGTATATACTAAAATTATTTTTTCCAATTTGAGTCTAAAACAGATATAAGACCACTTTATGGTTTCTAAAGACTACTAGCTGGTTTATAGCACTTCCGACAACATCAACGTACCTCGAGGTCTCGCATCTGTATTTCGGAAAAAGTTTGGTCGATTACCAGAACTTTAAAGTCAGTTTCCAGTCCCTGGAAAAGCCTTGAAACTTCAAGATCGGTCCTGTTATCTTTTCTATTTGGCAACAAAGGACACATTCCGAGATCGACCCACTTATCATGATGTATGGGAGGCATTACTTAGTCTGAGGGAGCATTTACTAGTGTCAAATGTACTGGAGTCAAATTTACACTAAATACCCTTGCATATTTCGTTGTCCAGCCTGATAAATAGTCTGAGATTTATAGACAGGCAATTTGTAGGCAAACAGTCTAGAAGATTAGGGAAAAAATATAAGAAATAATAATAGAGAAAGCTAAAAAATGTTTAGTATATTAAAATACCAGTCGACGTCGTTTGAAATTGTGTCAATCACAAAGAAACCAAATTTGTTGTCGTCATAATTCCCCCAATATAGACATTTTTGAGAAAAATAAAATTTTTTCGTAGCCATTTACCTTCGAATAAAATAAAATAGAAACTAATTTTAATACTGTACCTTTTCTATGCTTGATAAATTCAAGTTTTTGGGTATCCAGCCTAATCTATAATCGATTTGAGCAGCTGCGGCTTCATTTTGATTCGGCTCAATCGGTTGTCGTATAGGAACTCTAAACTGACAATTAAAATTATTTTAAAACATTTAACCTAGCAGCCGGTCGCAATAAAAGTATGATAAACGTGTGAGTAAAGATAGATCACATAAAATATTACTTGTGCAAAATGTACTGGTGCTAGAGCTTCCATCATTCCACTGGTGATCATAGCGTTTAGGGTAACGTCGTCTATGTATGTTGGATTTCTTGTTACGTTTCCAGGATTTACCCTAGGAGGACGATTCCTGTGTGATCCTGTTCTAGACGAATCTCCTCTCTTAGCTCTCTAAAGTTAAATATAAATAATATAGGTACTTAGCAGAAAATTTATCATAAATAATTGGATCTAAGATTGTATGGAAGGCACTTACTTTCCAAAATAGGAAAATGTACCCCAGTATTTTAAGCATTTCTGCAAATTTGTGATGTTCAAAAACTACCAATAGGAGAAGAAGAATTGCTAAAAATAGTAGATAGGCACATAATGAGAGTCATACTAAGATGAAACCATCTTTTTGTAGATAAAAATCTGAATTGGACCGGACATGTTATGAGGAGAAACCAAATAATTGTTATAACTAATAATGGATCCCACTATGGCCAAGTAGAAGGGGAGAGCTTAAGGAAAGATGACGAAAGGGTATTGAAGATGATACAAGAATACTAAGAACAACAGATTGGAAATTAAAATGCAAAAATAGGAAAGAGTGGAATAAATAATGTATATGTCCAATAATTACATTCATTTTAATCAAAACTCTTCTTATTATCTTTGTAGAAGAGAAGCTTTAACTATTAAAGAAGTAAAGAAGCATTTAACCTATAAATAACTCTACAATAAAGTTAATTTCTTTAAATTTGATGGAAATAAACAAAAATATATGAATGCAAACAGAAATTTTCTTTTTATTATTTAAATATTGTTAAATTGGACTTACGCTAGCTACTACTCTGGACATATTATTCCAATTGTTGTTTTCCTCCATATTTACGGTGGCGATATTAATTTATTGTAAAGCCCTTTTGGGGCGAAACCAAAATTTAAAACTAATAACTGATAAAATTGTATATCAATGGGTCAAAGTTGGAAGGGTGACAAAAGTGTCAAAAATTAATCAAGTAAATGTCATTGGGTTAAGGGAGTTAGAAATGATCTTAGAGCATATAAGACTAGAGGTGTTACTCAAATGGGTGTGTTATGTACTGAGGGGGTTAACCCCTTCGGTGTTAGGTACACAACGCATTATGATTGGCCAGTTAGGAACACGACGATTTATGATTGGCGAATTTAAATAACGCGTGTATTTGTGATAAATGACATTTCATTTGACGTCTTGTTTTCGTTTTTATACAGGGTGTTCCATCTCTATTAATTGGAAAAGCAATATACGGGGTGGCTTGTCTGAGATGGAACACCCTATATAGTACCTATTGTGTATATATTAATAGTATGTAAGTTTTTGTGCGATAATTTAAAAAATGTTTTGTGCTCTAATATAGACAGTAAAATGTAACTGAATATTTTTTGCCTGAAAATATGTATGATATATCACGAATAAAATGTATTTTTTCTGTATTCATCCCATTCTATAGGTACTTGGGTTTTAACTGTTAAGTGGTGACCTAAACAAATAAATAATAAATAAATTTCATGGGAATTCAGTAGCATTTTATTTTTATTTTTCGTATATTTTTATTTATTATTCAATCATTGGGAAGATACTAAATATTTTTACTTTCGTTGGAATTTTTATTTCGTATTTTTATATTTACAGGGACCCTTCGAGTGCACCTTGTATAACGTGTCTATAGGTAGAGAGAATCATCTATGCGACGATGACACGGCGCAACGCCAGAGGTAGGGAGAAAGAACTAATGAAAGGTCTCGTAATCGAGAAGCCGGATCTGTTCGTTCTATAAATTCATCCCACAACTATCTTTTATCTTTAATCTTTGAAGAGTTGTATTTTAATCAAAGTGAGGTATCGAGTGATGGTTTAATATTTAGCAGTAGATAATGTAGAAGCTTTTTTTTTATTGTTCTTAAGGTGAATTGTTGACTAAACGCTGCATTAGAGCGTTGCTTATTGATTATTTATTAAGGGTATTTGTTGCAGTGGTTAGTTAATGTATATGCCACTAATTAAGGTTTGTTTTGTTGGTTAGGGGTGAATATTATTAATTTAAGTTGAACAATGAAGTTTTCATCCATTTCGAGTTTTTCTTTTCACTTTCTTAGTACTTTTTTAATAATTAATTTGATCATAGTTCCTGATAAAGGAAACCACAAAACCTAATGCTGGTTACTTAATAAAAAAGTTGCCCTACTCTACTTCTATCTCTACTATCCTATTTTCTTATAAGTTTTCCCATTATTTTATTATTTTTTGCGGGAATTTTTCGTGACATATTAAGTCTGTGGCCGGCGCTTAACACGTTAACTGCCACGACAATTTTGAGACATCTCCTAAAATGACAATTTGATTTAATCAAATTATATTATTTATTTCTTGAATTTGAACTAATTTATGTAATTATATTTTTTTTTCATTTTTTAATAAATTTTCTGTTCATGCAAGCCAGCATTGACTTTTTGTTCTTTTCCCCGAAGCTATCTATCGATATTAGCACTGATATATTTCGAGTTTATTCGTAGCTGCACAAAACACAGGACGAGATAACTCGTAGTTGGCGTCCTAGAGAAGAATGCAATCTACGAGTTATCTCGTAGTTCGCAGTCAACGTGTTAAAAGGTCATAAGTTGTTGTTTACGTAAATTGAGTTTTTAGTCAAGATACGTTTAGAAGAGTGTATATTTTAGGCAGTTAAAAGGATTCAAGTCTATATACGTTGTAAAGTAATAAAAATAAGGTACAAAAAACATATATAATAATACAAGAGTAACCGCGGAAGACAAAAAGTTATAATTAAACAAAAACAGTGAAATTTTGTATCATAAAACAGTTAAAACAAAGTTTGTCTACATATTTTTTAATTTTAACAGGACCAAATCTCCTAAAAAGATCGTCGATTTGGATTCTAAAAATCCTTATTGATGTGTCCCAAAATTTTCCGGCGCCATTCTCCAAAAATGTGAAATATCGACCACAAAAGTGATATATGACCTTATATGATAATATAACCGATTCATTGAGGCATGGGATGAATTGGTACCACTTTACAGGTGACAGATTACGTATTTGACATTGACAATTAACTTTAATGGATGACATTGACAAATGACATGACATTAGAAGAAATTGCGATAATAGATAGAAATTATTTTAAGGTTTAACGATTTTTTATCGAAAATCATAAAAAAACTAATTATTTTGGACATGATGACATAACAGATGGTCTTATATGATAATAAAAATGATTTATTGGAACATGTAAGTGAGTTTACAGATCACAGATTACGTATTTGACATTGAGTGTTGGCAGATGACATGATATTAGAGATTTTAACAAAAACCAAGATAAATTCACTATTTTTGAGCATTTTATTGTCAAATTGATAATATACTCACCCATCCATTCTAACAACAATTTCTAGAAATGTACACAACTAACAAATACAATAGAAAAAAAAAACAATTAATTTATTTAATAACGATTAAAATTAGCAAAATAACAACATTGTTCTATATACATTAAATCAGTCTTCAAAATGCGTCTGCTCCTCAAATTGATTGTCGTACTGTCCTTTCAATCTTAAATTGCTGGGATCGAAAGGACTTCTCAGGTATAGCGTAGCCGGGTATTTCTTATTCCTCACTTCGATCTGGTAGCTGCCACGTTTAAGGAATTCATCATCGATTACTTTGTCCTGAGGATGTTCCACATATCTAAGAAAATAATTAACTAATTTTATTGCTGATTATTTAAGAAGGAGAGAGAGAGAATATATGAGGAAATAAGTGCAATAAGTTAATTGACAAAAATGTAGTACAGATTCATGAGTTTAATTATGGGGTAAGTGTGAATATGCCGATTTTTGAATCCACTACTTACCCTACTCCAATGCTACAATCCAAACTAAAACCATAATCCCCACGTCTTAAAAATCCTACAATCCTATCATCCCGCCAAATCGTTTCATAACCATAGAGAGCCACGGGTTCTTGTAAAGTGAAAAACACTCTCTTCTTTGTAACACCGTCCTGTTTGAATTTTTCCACAGCTTGTTTTCCTAAGTACTGACCATCCTTCCTGCAGAACCTCCCTAAACCAGCTTCGATGGGATTGTCGTCTATTCTCAGATCGCTGTTCAGCAAATGGTATCCTAAAAATTAAGATTAAGTATGGAGATCTATTTCATGCTGCAGTAGTACGTAACTTCCTAGTAAGGAAAGAATACCAATTGGTTATTGGTTCTACATCATCTATATAGACTAAAAGTCCATCCAAGACCATACCTTCTCTTTGGGGAGACTAAGCATAGGTATTCTTTTACTTGGTTCGATGACCTACCAAACTTATAACTTATATAATAGAGGTAGAGATGTATTTCTAAGAAATACAGAGGTTTAGCTCGAAAGGTTCGAAGCCCAAGGTAATAGATGATGAATAAAAACTTTGGTATGCAGGATCTAATGAACGGAAATACAAAATTGTAACTAATTCTAGATTAATGTGAATTTAAGCTAAAAGATATATACATATGAAAATTTGTATGAAGAGTTATGAACTATAAAAGATCTAGAACGAATAAAAGACTTGGCCCAAGTTAGGTGCATTAAAGATGAAGCAGACAGCGTTCTTGTAATGAATAGGAATGTTAAAAATGATAGAAGAGTTTGTTAAATGTTTAGATTGGCAGAGAACCTCTGGAAGATAAAAATCAATTGGCGCTAAGGTATATCCTATCAGCAATAATTGAGTTAAAGAACCAGTAAAGGTTGAAAAGGATTACATTGAATATATCAAAAAAATTTTAAACTATTACTCCTTATTGACTTAGTCCACCATCTAAATTAAAAACTATGTAGGGGAGGTGTGGAAGACTTGGTACCCTGGGAGAGTTGGGACAGTGTTATTTTGTTGCGTTAGGTTGCCACTGTGAGAGTGACCTTCAAACTGTTCAATCATTATTGTGTTTACATTCAGTCAAGCAGCGATAGTCGTATGTATATGGTGTTTTCTAAGTCTCAGATAGTGAAAAACGTTTTTGGTAATTAAAAGTAAGTTTTTTTTTTGTATATTTTGCTTTATTTTTTAATAAATTATTCTTAAACAATAAAAGTTAATTGTGCATGTTGTTGTACCGTATTTTGTCTTTAAAATGTGATCTGCTGTTGTCAATTTACTCTAACCTAACAATATTTGGCGCTATTTTTAACTTCACCAGTCCGTCAGGGAGAGTTGGGACAATATTATAAGGGAGAGTTGGGACGTCCCAAGTCTCCCTGATTAAAGGTATATTCTTCTATTTTCCGTGTTGTAGGCACATTATTATTTTTGTTTTCTTATTTTCAGCTATGCCATTACGATACAAAAAAAAGGAAAAAAACCGTAGTATTCCCACGCAAATTATACAGCAGGCCGTGGAAGAATATAGAAATGTTGGAGGGCTAAGAAAAATTGCTAACAAGTATGACATACCAAAGAGATCCCTAGCTAGGTACCTTAAGGCAGGCAACTTGGACAAACTTTTGGCAGTACATGAAAGTTATGGGTCGTCCTATCGACAATCTCAAATTTTTACCATTGAGGAGGAACAAATGCTTGTTAAATATATTATAACGGCCGCAAGAATGCACTATGGTTTGAGTAAAAATCAAGTTCGTCAATTTGCTTATCAATTCGCCCAGGCTAATGGAAAAAAAATACCGAAATGTTGGGAAAAAAATGAGAAAGCTGGAGAGGATTGGTGGAAAGGTTTTAAAACTAGGAACCCAACTCTATCAGTGAGAAAGCCAGAGGCAACTAGCCTTTCCCGCTGCACTAGTTTCAATCGGAAAAATGTTAATGAATTTTTCGATAACTTGGATGAAGTGGTAACCAAATATAAATTTCCGCCCAGTGATATTTATAACTGTGATGAGTCAGGACTTACTACAGTTCAAAATCCAGGTAAAGTGGTCGCTGAAAAGGGTGCAAAACAAATTGGTCAAGTTGTCTCTGCAGAGATGGGAAGTTTAGTGACAGGTTTATTTACAATTAATGCGACAGGTCAGTGTTTTCCTCCTTTTTATGTATTTCCAAGGGTAAATTTTAAGGAATACATGCTGGCAGGCTCCTACCCAGGATCTGCTGGTGCAGCACACCCATCAGGATGGATGACCGATGTTAATTTTGCAATATATTTACAACATTTTTTCAAATACGCTAAACCAGCCGTCGACAGACCTGTTCTTTTGATATTTGACAATCATGATAGTCACATATCAATAGAGTCTCTACAGTTTTGCAAACAAAATAATATCGTCTTACTAACTTTCCCCCCTCATTGTTCACACAAACTGCAACCGTTAGATATTGGAGTCTACGCACCATTAAAAAAATATTATAGTGCAGAGTGTGATTCATGTATGAAAAGAAATCCTGGAAAGACAATTAGCATTTATGAAGTAGCCTCGCTCTCATCCCAAGCAATGATAAAAGCTTTTACACCGACAACAATTCAAGCAGCGTTTAAAAAAAGCGGAATTTTTCCCTTTGACCGTAATATTTTTAATGACGTGGATTTTCTGGCATCTGCTGTTACCGACAGGCCTAATCCAGAGGTATATGATGCAATTAGTTCAGAAGCGAACCTAGAAAACACAAACATTACAATTGACACCAATATTGAGGCAATTCCGTCCACTTCAAATGTTAGCGACTCAATAGATGTCATGAAGAAAAAAGTGCTGGTAACGCCTGAACAACTACGTCCGCACCTAAAAGCAGCAGCGCGGAAGAAACAAAATAAAGGGCGTAAGCCTGCTAAAACGCGAATTTTAACAAATACCCCGGTTAAAGATGCAATAATTGCTGAAATTGAGACTCGCCTTAAAAAAAAGGAAAGATGTGTATCTGTGAAAGCCATAAAAAAAGTAACAAAACGGCTAGTTTCATCATCCAGCGAAGATGAAAAGCATGATCCTATAGTTTATGCAGAATCTGGAGACTCTGATTTAGAATTCTCGGAGGAAGAAGAAGAAGAAGAAGAGAGCAATGATTCGCATCAAGAAGATATACATTTTTTGGAATCAGATTTTGTAATTGTTAAATGTACAGGAAAAAAAAGCGAAATACATTATGTGGGAAAAGTTGTTGGGTTAGCAGAGGATTATTTAGAAATAGAATTTCTAAGAAGGAAACATAAAACATTTCAATTTGATTTTCCGCCAGTTCAGGAAAAGCGGACGATTGCAATTGAAGATATTTTTAAAAGATTGCCACTTCCTATACAAAAGCCTGGTACTGCTCGTATCCAAAATATGGTAGAGTTTAAGGCAAGATATTTTCAAAATATTAAAGATTTACGATAAAATATCACGTTAAAATATTTAATATTATGATTTTTTTTTAATAATCACTTATTTTGTTTTATATTACCATTGTAGATACTTTTTTGGTAAAGTGTTGTTTTGAATTAAAATAGTTTTTTGTCTTTTTGGTCTTTATTTGGGTTGTCCCACCTCTCCCCATCACCGGACCCAACTCTCCCTTATAAAAGGGAGATATGGGACAAAATCATTACTTTATAAAAAAATTTATAGAAACATTAGTTGTTTAAAAAAATTAACAAAATGCTGTACATAGTTGGCAATTAAATGAAGGTATACGTACGTATTTTTATTTTATTAAAATAATAAAAATTAATCATTACAAAAATTTAAAACCAAAAAATGTCCCAATTCTCCCACATCTCCCCTACAGTCACTAATCATATATAAATTTGTCCTTACCTTTTTCACAACTAAGAGCCTCCAAAGCCCTAAATCCGGCATGTTTAAGATCAAAACCTCTTCCAGCTTCCATCAACCTATTGTAAACAGGTACACATGAAGCTAGAGGAATGTGAATCTCATATCCCAATTCACCTATGTAACTGATTCTTAGTACCCTGCAAGTGTGGCCAGCGATTTTAAGAAGTTTAGACATTCCATATGGAAGTTTCTGGTCGGTAATAGGGAATTCTGTAATCGATTGCAGCAATTCACCACTGAAACGAAGAATAGCTGTAGAGTTTTACAAAACAGATCTAACTTGTCATAAAATATACCTTTTTGGTCCTTGAATGGCAAGAATTCCTATCCTGTTGGTCATTTCTGTTACCAACGATTTGAAGTTCTTCCTATAAAGTTGTTTTCTAAAATGAGCCTTAGTTTGGTAACCAGATTTTGCTCCAGCTACGATGTAGTAACCTTTTCCCTAAAGGGAACAAAAATTAAATAAAGAAATAAGGATAAAGTAAATCTTACTTTAAATATAGGCCCCACTAACGTCCCTTGACCCTCTTCTAACGGTATAACCGTGACATCAGCTTCAACATGACCTCTAGAGTTCAACGAACACGTATAAATAATACTACCGGGTTCCTTATCAACATTTGCAGTAAATAACCAATCAGCTGCTTCAACCGCATCAGGTCCTGCCAGATACATCTTTGCATAGCTGGTTAAATTGAATAGAGCTACGTTGTTTCTGGCGGCTAGCGCTTCTTCTTTTATCTATAAATAAACGTTTGAATAAAATTCCATCGAAATAAAGACGCTAACTAAAGTGCATGAGTTGATAAAAGTATGTACAGTAGAAGAAACTAGCATATACGAAGAGGCTAAAGGGGTGATGAAGGTGAAAGGATGATAGATTGCGTATACAGGGTGTCTGTAAAAGATCTTTACAAAAACATACCACATATTCTTTAGACCAAAATAAGTCGATTTAAGTAAAATTACCTTAGTACAAAGTTGCTTCGTTTGGGCTCCAGAGGGCCTTGAAGTTACAATTTTTAAATCGTTTTTCCCATATAAATTTAAAACGGCATATGCGATTTTGCTGAAATTTGGTACATTGGTAAAGTTTTATGTGGCAAAAGAAATAATATTAAAATTTTGTCCAAAGATAATAATACATAGGCGTAGAACTTGATTTTTAAATAATTGCACCTTTAAAAATTCTACGCCAATGGAAGAAAAGGAGTTTGAGTATGAAATTTAGATTGCGCAACTCATTTACTTTAAAAAAGGTACTCTTGATAAAACTCGATTACTCTCACGGTTTTGACGAAATTTGCATTTTAGTAATTTTAGAACATAAACAATAATTATTAAAATACAAACTTTGTCAAAACCATGAGAGTAAATCGAGTGTTATCAAGGGTACTTTTTTGTAGTAAATGAGTACCCAATCCAAATTTCATGCTCAAACCCCTTTTTTGCCATTGGCGTAGAATTTTTAAAGGTGCAATTATTTAAAAAATCAAGTTCTACGCCTATGTATTATTATCGGACAAAATTTTATACGATGAAAAACATAAAAATGTACTTTTTTCATATCTTCTTCAACACCTTTAATCGAGACTTTTAACAAAAATACTCGATTCTTGCCATGTATGATTTTTTGAGGAATATTAATTATTTGCCTGCAATACGTATACAAAAACATTTATTGTTGGTTTCCATAGTTTCATCTAAATAAAAATATTGTCAAGTTTTTTAACACCTAATCTCTTGTTAACGATTGAAAGTGTTCTGACTCAATAATTAAAAAAACAAATGCGTGGTTTATTAATATGGCTGTACAATATACCAATGCAGAATATACCGATATGTTACTGACATTAGGATTTTGTGAAGGAAATGCTGGAGAGGGTGTACTGTCACGACCCCCTTTTCTATGGGTCGAAAGAATTATTTAATGTTATTAATTCGTGCTACCTTTCTTTATGAAATAAAAGTCGAGTTGAACAATTAACAATTTATTTATCAGTAATAGTAATCAATACACAATATACAATAATAATATTAATAATACAATATGGGCCTTACCATGGGCTAAACATCTAAATGGCGACGAGGGCACGTCACGTTACTTCTTCGCTGGGATGAGAGACAATGATGAGACTCAAACTAAGAGTCTTGGAGGAGACTCCGACCAAGAGTGCCCTTATTGTTGACCCGGCCGATCTTTATATTAATCGGTTAAGGTCAAAACGTGTCTAGTTTAATATTATATTTACATTTATCGAGAATGTATTTACTAATTGGATCTAATGTTTATTAAAATATTGTATATATATTATATATATGCTGAATTATTTAATTTAACAACTGAATATTAAAATAGAAAATATATATTTTATATATAGGGTGATATTTGTTTAGCGTGACAGTACTCTGAAAGGTTTCCAAATCGTCGTATACCTAGCCACCCAACTTTTGCTGCTGTTGAGAGACATCTTCGGGAGACCTTCTTTGCTCCCAACACTGTTGATAATGGAAGAGAACGTTTTGTAAGGATTCCTGAAGTTGAAGAAGACATTTTAGAACGTGTTGAAGAAGATCCAGAATTAAGCACCAGACGAATTGGAAGGGAACTAGGAGTAAGTAAAGATGTCGTTCATAAAGTGCTTAGAGAACAATTGCTATATCCATACCATAAGAAGCCAGTACAAGAATTATTAGTCCATGTTCCTCAAATTCGTTTGGGTTTTTGTCGATTTGTTAATATGCAAAGAGAAAGAGATCCAAACTTTGTCAAGAAGGTTCTCTTTACCGATGAAGCGGGTTTTACAAGAAGAGGTATAACTAATACCCATAATGAACATGTTTAATTGTTTATGCCGTTGAAAATCCGCATGCAATAAAGGTAAACCATTTTCAGCACGAATTGAAAATTAATGTGTGGGCTGGAATAATTGGTAAATTCATTGTTGGTCCTGTCATACTTCCACGAAGATTAACTGGAGAAAATTATTTGGATTTTCTACAAAATACGTTGCCAGAATTGTTAGAATATTTACCTCTCCAACTTCGGAGAGATATGTGGTTTATGCAAGATGGAGCTCCACCACATTTTTCTTTAAACGTTAGAAACCACTTGAATGAACAATATCCACACAAATGGATAGGCAGAGGTAATGACGCACCTTTAAACTGGCCACCACGTTCCCCAGACTTAACACCGATGGATTACTTTTTATGGGGACATCTGAAATCCACAGTTTACAGGGAACCTGTAGAAAATGAGGAGCAACTCTGGCAACGTATTCAAGATGCAATAAACAATCTTAGAGGTGATGAAGAAGTTATGGAAAGGATACATTTTAATTTTCTTCGACGTATAAATCTTTGTATGCGTGAAAATGGTGAACATTTTGAACAATTTTTGTAAAATCTCTATTTTGATTATGTTGTAAATAAATATTTTTGTGAAACCTATACACTCTAAATTATTAAAATAGAAATTTAGCGAAAACCATGAGAGTAATCGAGTCTTATCAAGAGTACCTTTTTTAAAGTAAATAAGTTGCGCAATCTAAATTTTATGCTCAAACTCCTTTTCTTCCATTGGCGTAGACTTTTTAAAGGTGCAATTATTTAAAAAATCAAGTTCTACGCCTATGTATTATTATCGGACAAAATTTTAATACCATTTTTTTGCCTAATGTCAGTAACATATCGGTATATTCTGCATTGGTATATTGTACAGCCATATTAATAAACCACGCATTTGTTTTTTTAATTATTGAGTCAGAACACTTTCAATCGTTAACAAGAGATTAGGTGTTAAAACTTGACAATATTTTTATTTAGATGAAACTATGGAAACCAACAATAAATGTTTTTGTATACGTATTGCAGGCAAATAATTAATATTCCTCAAAAAATCACACATGGCAAGAATCGAGTATTTTTGTTAAAAGTCTCGATTAGAGGTGTTGAAGAAGATATGAAAAAAGTACATTTTTATGTTTTTCATCGTATAAAATTTTATCCGATAATAATACATAGGCGTAGAACTTGATTTTTTAAATAATTGCACCTTTAAAAATTCTACGCCAATGACAAAAAAGGGGTTTGAGTGTGAAATTTGGATTGGGTACTCATTTACTACAAAAAAGTACCCTTAATAACACTCGATTTACTCTCATGGTTTTGACAAAGTTTGTATTTTAATAATTATTGTTTATGTTCTAAAATTACTAAAATGCAAATTTCGTCAAAACCATGAGAGTAATCGAGTCTTATCAAGAGTACCTTTTTTAAAGTAAATGAGTTGTGCAATCTAAATTTCATACTCAAACTCCTTTTCTTCCATTGGCGTAGACTTTTTAAAGGTGCAATTATTTAAAAAATCAAGTTCTACGCCTATGTATTATTATCGGACAAAATTTTAATACCATTTTTTTGCCACATAAAACTCTACCAATATACCAAATTTCAGCAAAATCGCATATGCCGTTTTAAATTTATATGGGAAAAACGATTTAAAAATTGTAACTTCAAGGCCCTCTGGGGCCCAAACGAAGCAACTTTGTACCAAGGTAATTTTACTTAAATCGACTTATTTTGGTCTAAGGAATATGTGGTATGTTTTTGTAAAGACCTTTTACAGACCCTGTATAACAAACATATATAGTAAATCTCTGAATGTTCAATGTAGCAGAAGAGATTAAACAAATGATAAATGAAGAAGAAACAGTAAATATCACTGATGGAGAAATTGCAAGAGAAGAAATAATTTTAGTTTTAAGCAGACGAAAAGGTGGAAAAGCTGCAAATATATAGGAAATCGCATCCGAGCTGGTAAAGAAAAACGTAGAGATATAAGTAAAAATTAATATTAAATAACTGATTAGATGACTCTTAAAACAAGGTTCGCCAAATTCAACCATGACCCTGATCAAAAGGTTAGGCTTGTGCAGTGAACTATTATGGATATGAGGCACATTAGATCTATCTGAGTCGCATTTTCAATCTAATCTATATTGGAAAATGATAGATGCTTTTAAGTTACATGCAGACTATTCTGGACTGAAAAAATAGAAATGAAGAGCTGTGGATAACTTAAATAAAGTTGGACACAGAAAGAACTTTAAAATGTTGAGAGGAAATATAGGGAGACAAGAATTGCACTACAATACATCAGGTGGAAGAAAAAAAGGAAGAATACAAAAAATATCCTGAAATGAAGTCCCAAATTAATTCTGAAAAGGACAAATATTGTCCAACTTTTTTCAAATTGTACTTATTCTGATTCAAGCTCACTTCACTGGTTTTATGTTCAGAAGACGCATGTGTTGGTCAAAGTTCGAAATAAGCAATTTAAAACAAAATAAGCCCCAAAACCTACGAGTGTTGATATCCAAAAAAAATTATATTAAGAATCTTTACATTTTACTTACCAAATCATGATGTTTGGAAAAATCGAAAGTAAGATCTCCCTCTAATTCGTTTTCATAACGTTTATCTTCACTGACCACATGACCATAGTACCCATGCCAATCGTAACTCCTGACTGGAGCGGTACGGTCGTTTACAAAGTATGCTGGTCGTTCCCAACCTAAAGCTTCTTCCATTACTGCACCGCTGGCTACAAGAGCCTAAAAATTTAGAATCATACATTAATATTAGTAAAAAATGTTTATATTCTATTAAGACCTTACCTCATGGAATTGGTCAATCCTATGGTTCCTCCCTGCCAACGGCTGATCGTGGGGATAAATAATTCTATAGGTGTTAGCATAACCTTCGTGAGTTCTTTCCAACACCCAAGCTCTATCTTGCCTCTGGACCGGCGTGTATCTTCTAATATCGTAAGAGTACACTGGAATTTCCGGTCGACCAAGGGCTATCCAGCTGGCTATTGTTTCACCTGCACCACCGCTGAGTTGGACTCCAAGCGAGTTGAATGAGTTGCAGTGGAAGAGACCTTAACAGCAAAATGTGTTCAAAATTAGTTTATTTCAAAACAAAATTGATGAAAAGGAAGTAAAGAAGGAGTTTATACAATATGTAAGGATCTCAGACCTTCGTAGAGATCTGACAATAACTACAATCAAAGAATGTTGAAAAAAGGCCATCAATATTGAAGTTTTATAGTTCCTGGACAACTGATACCCAATGAGAAGGCTCAAAAGGACCAAATCATTTGAATTAGAGGAAATGTAGAGCACAGTGCCTCCACAATTCAGAAAGTAATCTACTTCAAGGAAATGGACCGAAGAAGCTGGTTAGATATTTTTAACTTGTACTTACCTACACATTTAGGATCTTCACCCATTATAGGTTTGTGATCTGGGGTGAAAGCTTCAGCTCCACAAACATCTGACTTGATACCAGCTTTCTCGAAACTCGGGCAGAGCTCAACAGCGTGTTTCCAGTGCTGATCGAAGACGCTCATGTCCAATTCGTATAGATGGAACTTTTCGTCTGGTAACTAAGCAGAAAATAAGTATGAAAGATTGTAGTCAGTGTTAAATAAAGAAAACTCTAGTTTATTAGATTTGAAAGATGCAACTAGTTTTGGCGGGATATATAATAATAATAATAATAATAATAATAAAGGTGTTTATTGTTTTCATTACAGCATTTTACAAAATTAATATTACTAATAGTTTATTAAAGAAAACAAAAGGCGAAGTTCACTTTCCAAAGTTTAAAAAAAAACACATGGAAAATGTTCTTCCACTTAACCCAATGATGGTGTTTATATACATATGTAAATACGAGTAGGTATATGAACTAAATCTAAACATATTGAAAAATCAAAATAAAAACAAAAAACTATATCTTTATATTTTTATATTTTAGAGGGGACAGGTAGAACAATTACGATTTAAGTGCATTGCTTGCTAAATAACAAGGTTTTGTATTTACATTTGAAAGTAAGAGGGTTAAGATTTTTAAATATAATAGGAACAGAATTATACAATTGAAAAATTTGATATGAAAACGAACGTCTAAATAGTTCGGATCTAAATTGAGGTGGTGATAGTAGACCTTTGAATCTTAAATTTAAGTTGTGAACATCTGTCCTAAAGGATATTTTTTTGTAAAGATAAATGGGGATTTTATACAAGACAATTTTGTGGTATAGCGTAGTTGCATGATGAATTCGTCGGTTTTCCATATTTAGCCAACCGATTTCTTTGAGTTTATGTGATATCCTTTGATATTTTCTTATACCGTATATGAGTCTTAAGCAACTGTTTTGTATTTTTTTTTGAAGGTTACTGTTAAATTTGGACCATAGACAAGCAAAATTAAAATTTGATAGTACAAGTGATTCACATAGTGATATTTTAATACTTTTAGGCAACAACTTATGATTACCGTATATCAATTTTAATGAGCTATAAGCTCTCTGAATCAATTTAGTGATGTGTTTTTCAAACCTTAATTCAGAATCAATTAAAACTCCTAAATTTTTAGCTTCATTTACTATGGTTAGTCTATCATTATTAATTTCAATACCTAATTCTTCAATAATTTTGTCACGATTACGACTTGATCCAAACAACATCACATTAGATTTTGAAGCATTAATTAGTAAACAGTGCTCAGTTGCTGATCCAACAAAAGAATTCAAATCACGATTAATTATCTCACACGCATTTTGTGATAGATCTGGAGGGAAACTGTAATAAATCTGAGTGTCATCGGCATATAGGTGAATTTTACAGTTTTCTAAAGAATTAATAAGGTTCGAATTGTATATTGAAAAAAGCAGAGGGCCTAAAATGGAACCTTGGGGTACGCCCTAGTGAAGATTTAAAAATTCTGATTTATGTTCATCGATTTTAACACATTGTTTGCGATTTTCCAAAAAATCTTTAATAAATAATATAGCGTTGTCAGCAAAACCTAGGGTGTCCTTTAAAATGTGTCCCAAAATTCTCAGGCAGATTCCTTAACCAAAAAATGGAAAAAAAGTTCCTATAGACCTATGTCCTAAAGTGCCCCCTAAGCGAGCAACAGCCTCTCGAAATCATTTTTTTTATTTTGATTTTTTGAATTTTCTTAAAAATGGAAACAAATAAAAGAACCAAATTTTGGCTGTTAAATATGATCAATAATAGTGACCTTTTGACACCTTCAAAAAGAAATTATTTCGTCAGGGGTGTACTTGGGAATTTTTTGAAAATTTTGATTATTCATAACTTTTTTGTGTTTTTGGTAATGACTTATCCATATTTTTTTTTACATTCTACATTGAAAACTACGTCAAAAAGGAATACTTGTTTGATCTCGATTGGAGCAGCCGTTTCCGAGAAAACATCATCCAAAGATATTCGTCCACTTTAGCTTAATTTTCAATTTTCCTAAATTTCCTCGGTGAATCTCGTAAATAAAAATAACTTTTTTAGCTCTCTCTAAATAATTGTAGTTCAAATGTCGTGGTGGGACTATTTTTATTTAATAATGTACCAGTTTCCCGAAGTCTATCGTCAATTCTAGAAAACGTCTTAGCGCATGGAAGATGCCTATTTGGAAAGCGCTCCTGATAAAGTCTGCGAGCTTCATTGGCATTTCCAGAAGCAAGTCCAAAACATAAGTGCATGTCCGTCATTTCGCCGAATGTGTAATCATTATTGTAGTTATTGTTAGCCATTTTAAACAAAATAATAACAATACAACGAATCGCACCAGAACACTTTTAGAAATAATGTTTAACTGAAGAAACATTTTTATCAGTGAGCGAAAAAAATTATCCATGAAACACAAAAACGCCAAAAAAATACATATTTTTACTTTTTTATTCTAAACAGCTAAATACAAACCTTATGGTCTTCATAATAAATAAATGGGAACTAAATTTTTAAATTTTATTTAGAGAGCTAAAAATAGTATACAGGGTGATTGATTAGTGTGAGGAAGCTCTGTAGATCTGTTATAATAAAAGTAGGCAGCTTTAAGCTTCACATTTTAAAATTAGTTACGATGTGACAGGGTGTTTCATAAGGCCGTGCCAAATCAAAGTTATGTTTTTTAAATGGAACACCCTGTATATTTTTATATTTTTAGAATCTGCTCGATAATCTGATTTCAATGATATATCACACTTGTTATCTAATATGAATAGTAAAGGATCTACAGCTACTCAAAAATCACATTTTTTCAAATTCAGGTGGCTGTTGTAGCCAAACAGTTGGAAATCGAGGAAAACGGCTTACAGTCCCTATCCTAACTTTTTAAGGTCTATTCAGTGACATAAAATACATATTATTTGATACAGGGTGATCAAAAATCCAAAATCACATCCGATTTTTGATCACCCTGTATCAACTAATATTTTTTGCCACTGAATAGACCTTCAAAAGTAAGGATAGGGACATGTAAGCCGTGTTCCTCGATTTCCAACTTTTTGGCTACAACAGCCAAAATTGAAAATTAACCTAAACTGCACGAATATCTTTGGATGATGTTTTCTCGGAAACGGCTGCTCCAATCGAGATCAAACAAGTATTCCTTTTTGACGTAGTTTTCAATGTAGAATGTAAAAAAAAATATGGATAAGTCATTACCAAAAACACAAAAAAGTTATGAATAATCAAAATTTTCAAAAAATTCCCAAGTACACCCCTGACGAAATAATTTCTTTTTGAAGGTGTCAAGAGGTCACTATTATTGATCATATTTAACAGCCAAAATTTGGTTCTTTTATTTGTTTCCATTTTTAAGAAAATTCAAAAAATCAAAATAAAAAAAATGATTTCGAGAGGCTGTTGCTCGCTTAGGGGGCACTTTAGGACACATTTTAAAGGACACCCTGTATAATGCAAGATGCTTAATAATAAATTATGATTTATCGTATCGAAAGCTCTACTAAAATCTAATAGAGTTAAGATAGTACAATGCCCTTTGTCAGTTGCAGTAATGATATCATCTAATATTTCCAGAAGTGCTGTTGTACAGCTATACCCTCTGCGAAAACCTGATTGAACATGGGGCAACAATGAGTTATTTGATAAATGTTCTGTTATTTGCTTTTCCACTGCTTTTTCTAAAATTTTGGATAGCATTGGTAAAATGCTGATCCCCCTAAGGTCTTTATACTCAGTTGGGTTTTGTTTTTTGGGTATCACTTTTACAATTGCTTTTTTCCAGACAGTTGTTTAAAAGGCAAAAATTGATAATATGCGTAATGTATGGAACAATATGCGGACAGCATAATTTAACAAACTTACTGTTCAAATGATCACAGCCTATCGCATTTGATTTCATTTTGCAAATACTGGTAAATATTAGGGCTCGGAATTGTATTCGGATAATTCGATAATTCGAATATTCGAATACTCAAAATTCGATATTTTTAGATCGAAATTATTCGAATAGTCGAATATTCGAATAGTCGAATAGTCGAATATTCGAATAGTCGAATATTCGAATAGTCGAATAGTCGAATATTCGAATAGTCGAATATTCGAATAGTCGAATATTCGAATAGTCGAATATTCGAATATTCGAATAGTTGAATATTCGAATACTCGATATTCGAATATTCGACTAATTGAACTAGGTAGGTATTCGATACTCGAATATTTGACTATTCGAATAATTAAATATCGGAATACTGTAAATGTTCAAATATTCGGATATATATTTTGAATTAATTTATATACCTAATTTAAATATTTCTTTTTTATCTATTGCTTAAAAATAAAGGTAGAAGAAAAATGAATAACAAAATTCTGACTTGAGATTCGGGACTAATACGTTACGGCAACAATGTATTTATTTATTTATTTATTTATTTTCTTGTAGTGCTAGCGTTTTATTTGGTAAATGAGAAAAACCCCAACGTTGTCTGACATTCGCACTTTTCACACGCTTGTTTATGTTTGTTAAGTTATAACTTACTAGTTATTTTATTCATATTAGTGGGTGTATGTCTGTCAGTCAACGTTTGTCCGATACAGATGTTAAATATGAGTTCAGAACGCAGTAAGATTTGGCTTTACTTCGATAAAAAAGAAAATCGTGTGTAGTGTAAATTAATAACTTACAATGTCATACACAGAAGTAATACCAGTAATTTGTGGAATCAATTAAGAACTAAGCATCATACCAAAACAAACAGGTATGAATTATACGTTAATCAAATAATCAAATACTCAAACATTCGAATATTCGAATATTCGAATACTCGAATATTCGAATAATCGTATACTCGAATATTCGAATATTCGAATATTCGAATACTCGAATATTCAAATACTCGAATATTCGAATACTCGTATAATCGAATATTCGAATAGTCGAATAGTCGAATACTCGAATATTCGAATATTCGAATACCCGAATATTCGAATACTTAGAAATATTCGAATAGTGAATAATTTGGGTATTCGAATAAAGTTTCAAACGAATATTCGAATACAAAAATCTGAAAAATTCCGAGCCCTAGTAAATATAAATGTTTCGTCAACTTCTCTGAATTTAAATGTACAAGGTACAACATTATTAGTATTATAAAAGTTTAATAACTTCTGGGGCGGAATAATATTTGAAATTGAGTTCACTAAAAAATTATTAATGTGGTTAGGATTTTTTAAATTTTCGGGAATATCTTGATTTTTATTTTTGACAAAATTATTAGATTTTAAAGTGTGCCATATTTCTTTATTAGTACACTTACTAAATTGATGTAAGAAGTAAGCTCTTTTTTCTCTTTTTATAGCTTGATTTGTGTAATTTTTAAGGTTTTTATAAAATTGTAAGTGACCTTCCAATTTTGTACGTTTATATTTTTTTAATGCCTTGTCCCTTTCATTCATCATTTGCCTTATAGTGAAAGTTAGCCATGGAGCTTTCTTTTTTGTAAATCTGGAGGTAACTAAGGGAGCATGTCTATCAAGTATAGAAACTAGACAATTTACAAGATATGACACCTTTTCATCGACAGTATCTTGATCAAAAATGCGAAAAAATGATGTACTTGTTAAATCATTTTGAAATTTATCTTCATCAAAATTTTTAAAAGATTTGTAGGTATACATTTTAGGTTCCTTTTGTTCTTTAACATTAATTTTACAAAAAATTAAGGAGTGATCCGAGATTGTATGATGAATGATACCCTTATCCACCAAGTTTTCCCTCCTAGCTATAGCATAGTCAAGTAAAGTCGAAGAAGATTTAGTTACTCTTGTTGGAACATCAATAACTTGCGCTAGGTCGAAAGATTCTAGAATTTCATTAAATTTGTGAAACGAAGCATTTTTATTAAAAAAATTCATATTAAGATCTCCTAAACAAACTACTTCATCAACTGTTAAAAAAATAGACGCCAAAGTATCCTCGAACTCCTCTAAAAAGTCAAATGAATTCTGTGCATGAGGCTTATAAACTACCCCTACAGCTAAATTCTTTTTATTTAGAGTTAACTTTATCCACATTTGTTCCCATAAATAGCCCTCATTTTTTATTATAAGTTCACAAACATTTATTTTTGACATAGATACATAAACCCCTTCCTCTTGCATTTCTATCCCCACGATATAATGTATAACATTTAAATCATCATTACTAACATAGCTATGCAGCCATGTTTCACATATTAAAACAACCTCAAATGAATGTTCATCCAATAAATTTTTAAAATTTTGTAGCGATGGTAATAAAGACCGAGCATTTAAACAAGCTATATTAAAATAATCCATATGTTTCGACTCAAAAAAAAAAAAAAAAAAAAAAATATAAAAGTTCAACTATCCTCTCTAAAGCGATTCAGAATAATAATATAAAATCCAATTTCTAAATAATAAAATAAATACTAAGCTGAGAATATCGATTTCTGATATACAAGATAAGCAAGTCCAAAAACTAGTTAGAAATGGGAGCAACTAACTGCACAAATGTAGTTTTATTTAAACCGAACTCTTTTGTGCTAACTTAAAATCTATTATTTGAAGGAACTAAACAAATATTTGATCATTAATTTAAACAATATAAAACAATATAATTTGATAAATTTTAGAGATTAGGCAGATACAATTTAATTTTAGAATTTAATAATTAAGAGAATAACATCACTTTTTTTTTAAATTGTCAACATCCTTCAATTCACTGATTTTTATAACATCTTTGCTTCCGTTAAATTTAACGAAGATGTTTCCTTTATTTGTCCATACTAAACCATTCTCGCTAACTTTCCTTATTGCAGCTTTAAGTACCTTTAATGTTTCAATTGACAAATCTTCTCTCATCACTATATTAGTTCCTTTTAAGTGCTTCTTGTTATTAAATATTAGATTCTTTAAGTAAGCCGTACCAAATTGAACAAAAATTGGGCGAATATTATTTTTATCATTGATTTTTATGCGGTAACAACTGTCAATATTACCTACATCGAGAGTAATATTCAGTTTAGATTTAATTAATTCTAAAACAGTAACTTCACAGTTTTCATGCTCAGATTCGGGTACTCCATAAAGTAAAACATTCTTTTGTCTCCTAAATTGGTCACAAATATTATATTTATCTTCTAAAACTTTAATTTTATTAATTTGTTCATGGAGCTGAGATTTAAGACCGTTATTTTCTTGTTTTAGAAAAAATATTTCTTTGTCATATTTCTTTGAAATTATTTCAGTTATAGCATCGGCAAATTGGAGGACAAATTTTTCAGACGTTACAAGTTTACAAGTTTATCATCAGGTATATAATATATCATGGAAAATTTGATCGGTAACAGTATTGTTAAATGTAGTTCTTATACCAACAGATAATACAAGTGGTACCGCTGGGGTCAATAGATGGTACGATGGTACGCTTAGGTAGAGTTGTTACTATTTTATGAAGAACTACTAGAGGAGCAAGATATATGAAAACTTGGTGAATCAATTATTTAAGTGAAGGATGCAGACATAGACCTCCAGATGTTATGTTATGGATGCAAAATTTGTCAGTGAAGACTGAATTATTATGTCTAACGAGGCGATGGTATAACAATAGTAATATTGAGGTTTAACTTACATCTTTAAGTAAAATAGGATTCGGTTCATATCCTCCAAAAACGATAGAATCTCCTTGCGGCCTAAAGTACAAACCCCCATCGTGGTCTCTAATACAGGGAGTTCCTTTGGACTCTGGGACGCTGCCTGTTACTACGAAAGCGTGTTTCATTGGCGTTGCGGGAAGATCTAGACCGACCATTTGGGTTATTTCTCTAGCCCATACACCCCCAGCGTTCACTATTACGTTGGTTTTGATGGTTCCTTTCGGAGTTTCGATACCAATGATTTTCTTCTCGTTATTTGGCGTAGGATCTGTCAGGATTTTGGTAACGGGTGTGTCTTCGAAAACCTTCATACAAAAATGTTTAAGAACAAATTAATTCATTTAAGTATATCTAGTTTTGATTCTATTTACCTGTGCTCCCCTGGATTTGGCGCCTTTAATCAAAGCATTGCAGTACATAGTAGGATCACAGTAACCATCAGCTGGTGACCATAGAGCTCCATAGAATGATTTGGGATCCAGAATCGGTGACAGCTTGTGAGCCTCTGCTGGGGATATGATGTGGCTTTCTAAATTGAGGTAATGGCCCAACGTGTGAAGGCGTTTATATTCTTCAAGTCTTTCCTAAAAAAATATTAAATAAATGAAACTAGGAATACTAAAAGTACGGGGAATACTAGGAAAGCTTGGACAAATCCTGCAAAAATATATAACAAGTAACATATAGTGAAATGATCATGGCTCACAGACACCAATATTAATGAGTACCAGAAATAGTAAGGACGTGACGTTAAACCATAGATCTCTAGTCCCTAAAGATCTAATAAATATTAGGAATTTATAGATTAAAGAACACATTGAGACCAGGTTACATCAGTTTCTTAAATTAAGTATCAGGGGACGTGCTAGGTATTAAAACAGATCACATAACCAAGTGATGAATCTTTAACACTCCATTTGAAGTTACAAACCCGAATCGAACGGATATGACCATGAGGAAACCCGTTGTTGAAAAACAAGAAGAAACCTAGTATACAAATCAATTGAAGTGTACAAGAACAACCTAAATAGAGTAACACTAGTTTGGTTGGCTAGTCATCAAGCAACAGGAAATCAAGAGTAATGAAACCTGTAAAAAGAAGGTTGGAAGAAGCAGTGGAACTAGTAGCAAATCTTTGGGTATCAAAAAGTACAGTATAGGATTTCATAAACGACTAGATATCAGAAAAAACATAACAATTATTAGGAATATATCTTAAAACAAACACAAAGAAAACCTATATAGTAAGATTATGTTTTAAAAGAACTCTTTATGGATATGAACTAGTTGATAGTAATAACAGAAGTAATGACTGGGTTTGCCTCAGTAAAGGGATACTATGCGTCTAAGAAAGTTTAGATTGTATAAGACTCATACTTCTAAATAACAACTTGTTCTCCTAAAGCCTATCAAACATATGCAGTTAAAAATATTAACAAATAAATAAGTTACAGTGACTTAGACCAAGTCAGACGAACCCAAGAAACAAAAATATATACTAAACATACTAACCTTCGTCCTAGCGATAAAAATCCCGCCATTATTGATCCAACCGGGACTTATTCCGGTTTCTTCTTCTAATGTCTCAAGTAGTTCTCTAGTTTTCTTTAACATGAGATCGTCTACGTCAGTGGCGCGCAAACTCCAAACCAGAGATCCACTGTGCCATGTCGTGCCACTTGTGAGGCTGTGTCTTTCAAGTAAAATTGCGTTTATCCCTCGTTTTGTTAGATGGTAGAGGGCGCTGCATCCTACCACACCGCCACCTGTAAAAAATTGTATTACGGTTAACTAGTTTAATAATTTAAGGCATTTCTTTATAAGTTACCATAACTTACTAGAACATACTTATGTAACCAAAGCAATTCTTTAAACGTCATACGTTACCAAAATACGTAACTACTACTAACCATGATGTTTTTAGTGGTAAGGTGTGTGGTAAGGTCAGTAAGGTTTACATTTGAACATATCGAGCATGCGCAAAGTATTGTAAAGAGATTAAATTAGATACATTTTTCTGTGGTTATGGTTCATTTTGTATATTTGGGTTGGGCATTTTTGTATTTACCAAAGAAAACTCTATTTACTATGAAAGAAATTACATTTGAAATACAGGGCACTGAAATAACTCTTCACGAGAGCGATGTTGATGACCACTGGATACTGTTATTTGTATTGAAATATAAAGATGAAAATATGAGACTACTGGCACAAGTATTTATCATTGTTATTTCATCGCAAATAACACTTATTAATTTTTTTCTTCCTTTTGTTGGAGGAGACATATTTAAATAAATAACAAAAGAACGAAAACCAAATGACGTCTGTGACAAAAACACTTTTATTTATCTGAACAAAAACAACGTAAACAAATCCCCAATTTGACATGTGACAACGACAAGTGCTACGAGTTACCACGGTATGTCTGACGTCATCAGAGTAACCACAACGCTGTTACGAAGTATGTCGTGGTAAGCTTATAAAGAAAATGCCTTTAATTAGATTTGGATTTTTATATGTAAATAGAAAAATATACTAAAGACAATCAAAGATGCACCTCTGTACAAAATAGAAAAAATAGCTTATAAAGAGCCCTTTCTTGACATTGACAGAAGTTGAAAAAGCGGATTATAAAGATTACAAAGAAGTCGATTAATACATTAACATCAAAAAAACTGAAAAGTTTGATACTTTTTGTACCTAATTTTTAGGAAGCATCTGTTGCAAAACCTCTAAAGATTGTAGTTACTTATTTTAGGATCTTTTGTAGGTATTCTGAATTTAAACATCAATGTTAAATACTGCGTAATTTTTTAGAACTACTAATTCCTATTTAATTAAATTAGATCCACTGACAGCTGTTTTTGATTGTCTTAATATAAAATGATTAATTTATAAATATTATTTTTGTATTTGTTTTCGAAAACTTAAATAACTTCATTCAGATTATTCAATAAAACGATACATATTTGCTATTCGCGTCACAGTTATCTAATTCTTCTGATAAATACAGGGTGTACCATAAGTTATGGATCAAATGAAGTGAGACAACAAATGAATACTTTTGAAATTTTCTGGAAAACACAATATTTTTTGAAAAATGGATAAGGCTAAAGTTTGAAATGTTTTAAACAATAATTAGGCATGTAAGTTCTTTGTATTTATTGTTATTTGTAATTAATGTAATTTACGTTATATTTATTTCTAGTGACAAGAAAAACGGACCCAGGTTGATAATTGTTTATTGACACTCTACTCTGCCCTTAAAATAGAGCAATCTAATCTTTAAATAATTATTAGATTATCATAAACAAATTTATTTTTGACACACAATAAATTAATCAATGTTTACATAGATAATTTTTCTCAAAACAACGCCATTTTAAGAATTCGATTTAGTTGTTTGTCGTCAATAGCTAATCGTTTTATATAATTAGAAACTGAGATAGTGATGTGATAACTGTACGAAACATGTACTTTGCACATACCATATGATTAGACACCTACAACAGCTGTGATTTAATTCATTTTTTTTTAGTCCAACCTATTATAATAATGAAGAAACAAGTTCTAAATAAAACTGCAGATGTAGTATCAAATTTGGAGTTGGAATGTACTTTTCTATTGATGCAAAATATTCGCCGAAGGATTATGAACATGTAGATAAACTACTTGTAGATTCTAACCAAAATTTTAAAATAAACTTTTAACAGAATAATTGAACAAATTTTAATAATGTTTATGGTGTTTTTAGTAACATTCTCAATTTGTCTGAAGATAATCTTTTGGACCACTGCAAATCGAATTGAACGATAAGGCAAAAAAAAGAATCTGATATTGACTACAAAGAATTATTTAATGAAATGAAAGCTATTGAGGTTTTTTCTCTGTCAGAAGAGTATAGAAATTCCTCAGATCTCTTACAATATTTATTTGAAGTCGATTTATTACTAACGTTTTCTAATCTGACAATGTCTTGAAAAAAATTCTTCTTCCTGTATCAGTAGCTTCAGGTGAATGTTCGTTTTTTAAACTGAACACAATAAAAAATTATTTAAGTTCTACAATGTTACAAGAAAGAGTATCTATACTAGGTATTTTATCTATAGAATGTGAACTTCTAGGCACGATTAGTATAAACCAGTGGTCGCCAACCTGTCGATCGCGAGCTACCGGTAGCTCGCGGAGGCAATTCTGGTAGCTCTCACAACGATTTTAATTTAAAAAATACAAACTGCAAAAATCAGAGAAGCTTCCGAAAATTCCACAAAAAAATCTAATTGTCATAATATTAAACATAAACAGCGGCAACGTTGCGGTGAGCGATCTGCCGCTGACACCATCAAGCTAGAATCGGCTAGAACCGACCAGCCGGACCAGCGCGTTAGTGTTCGAAAACGATCAGGATTGCTTTGAACGGGATAAATACGCACGGCGCAGCGATATTGCGCTTAGTTTAAAACTGAACGCGTAACCAACGTCCAGCGGTTGGGTTAGTAGAGAACAACAAAAAATAATATTATAGCAAGCAGTTGCAAGAAGGTAAAGACATACCACTTTCATTCGGAATGGGAAGAACAATACTTTTTTACAGAAGTTAAAGATAAAAATGTGTGTTTGTTATGTAATACTTCGGTCTCCGTTGCTAAAAAAGGAAATATTAAGAGACATCATAAAACTGTACATTCTAATTTTGAAAAATCATTCCCACTACATTCTGCCGCCAGAAAGGAGAAACTGAAACAGTTAAAAAAGCAGTTAATTGGACAACAATCAATATTTTTAAGAACAGTCGACAAAAATAAGGCTGCAACTGAAGTATCGTACCGTGTGTCCCAGATAATGGCACAAAAAAAGAAACCTTATGAAGACGGGAAAATGATAAAACAGGCGTTTTTAGAAGCTGCTGATTCGTTATTTGCCAACTTTAGAAATAAAGACGAGATAGTTTCAGCTATAAAATCTATGCAACTTTCTGCTAATACAGTGATGAGACGTGTAGAAGTAATGAGCAATGATATTTTTTTACAGTTAAGAACTGACTTAGATAACTGTGTTTATTTTTCACTTCAACTGGATGAATCAACAGATGTCGTTGACACTGCCCACATAGCCGTGTTCGTCAGGATGGTTTTTAGTGATTTTACGATTAAAGAAGATCTTTTGAAGTTTATTCCACTGAAAGGACACACTACTAAACAGGACTTGTTTTCTCATTTAAAAAATAATATTTCTTCCGAGAAAATTCCATTATCGAAAATGGTAGGCTTGACAACCGATATCGCTCCAGCTATGGTGGGTTGTGATAAGGGTCTGGTGGCGTTATGTCGTAAAGATGAAACTTTTCCGCAATTTCTCTGTTACCACTGCATTATCCATCAGCAAGCATTATGTGGAAATTTCCTGAAACTAAACAACGTTATGAAACTGGTGGTAAAAATTGTGAACAAGATTAGAGCTCAAGCGTTACAAAGAAGATTATTCAAAACCTTGGCCGATGAAGTTGACTGTCAATACGGGGACCTACTCCTTCACTCTGAAGTCCGATGGTTAAGTAGAGGACGGGTGCTGAAACGTTTTAATGATGTCCTATCTGGCATAGTTCAATTTTTCAAACAACGCGATGAACCGACTCCAGAACTAGAAAATTCAATCTGGCTTAGAGATTTTGGTTTTCTCATGGACATTACAGAGAAATTAAACGAACTTAATTTGCAGCTTTAGGGGAGAGACAAAGAACTAGCGGAAATGATTTCTGATATAAAAGCATTTATCAAAAAGCTGGAATTTTGGGAACAAAACCTAATTAACAGCGATGCCAAGCATTTTCCTCAAAATCCATTAGAACCCTATGACAGCAAATATCATGTAGAAATAGTTTCTACCCTGAAGAATAACTTCAAAAATCGTTTTAAGGATTTCAACGAAATGGCTTTAGTAGCGCAGTTTGTTGTTTCACCCTTTATGGAAATTGATATCCAACAGTTTGCAACTTGTGTTATGCAGAACTTTGGCGAAGACATCGCTGCAACAGAAATGGAAGTAATTAAGTTTCAAAATGATTTAGCCTTAAAATCGTTAGTCTCAAGTACCAAATGTATCTGGCCTATTGTAAGAAAAGACCATTATTCAGTTCTATGCCGTGTTGCCTTGAAAGTGAAAGCATTATTCAACCTATTTGTGTGAATCTTTTTTTCCAATATGAAGTTTATTAAGAACAAATATCGCAATTGACTTACAGATGAACATTTGGATAATTGTATTCGAATGGCTATATCAAATTATACTGCAAACATTAAAAAAAATTATCGATGAGTCTGAGTGTCAGCCTTCTCATTGAACGTGATTTTTTATTTTTCAATGTTTATGTTCATGATAGTGCGTTACTTTTTTGTTGTTATTATTAACTATTTTTAAATCTTACGTAACATGCCGTTGTGGCTGGATAAAAGTTTGTGTTTATTTTTCAAACACCTTCGTTTGGTAGGTAGGAATGTAGCTATGAACAAGTACGTACTAGTAATATTAGTTATTTTGTTATTAGTTTATTATTAGTACCTATGTATTATGTATTACCAGTTAAATAGTAAAATAAATACATATAATGATAAATTAACTGTGGATTATTTCATTTACGTTGCGTTACGTGGCTTCCGTGTGGGTAGCTCGCTGTTTATTCCAAAATTAACAAAGTAGCTCAACACATTGAGAGGTTGGCGACCACTGGTATAGACGATATTTTAATTGTCGTCCAATTTCGATCATT